TCATTTGGGCACTCAGTTTCCATCTGTGTCCCCTTGTGCGTGTTCCCCTTGTGTTAAATAGACTGTCTTTATCTACCATATCAATTCCCTTCATAATCTTGAATGTGGTGATCATGTCCCCCCCCAACTCTTCTGTCTTCCAGCGAAGTGAGGTTTAATTCCCGTAGTCTCTCCTCGTAGCTCATACCTCTCAGCTCGGGTACTAGTCTGGTGGCAAACCTTTGAACCTTTTCCAGTTTAGTCTTATCCTTGACTAGATATGGACTCCATGCTGGGACTGCATACTGCAGGATTGGCCTGACATATGTGGTATACAAAGTTCTGAATGATTTTTTACACAAGTTTCTGAATGCCGTTCGTATGTTGGCCAGCCTGGCATATGCCGCTGATGTTATCCGCTTGATATGTGCTGCAGGAGACAGGTCTGGCGTGATATCAACCCCCAAGTCTTTTTCCTTCTCTGACTCCTGAAGAATTTCCTCTCCCAGATGATACCTTGTATCTGGCCTCCTGCTCCCTACACCTATCTTCATTACATTACATTTGGTTGGGTTAAACTCTAACAACCATTTGTTCGACCATTCCTTCAGCTTGTCTAGGTCTTCTTGAAGCCTCAAACAGTCCTCTTCTGTTTTAATCCTTCTCATAATTTTAGCATCGTCCGCAAACATTGAGAGAAATGAATCGATACCCTCCGGGAGATCATTTACATATATCAGAAACAAGATAGGACCGAGTACAGAGCCCTGTGGGACTCCACTGGTGACTTCACGCCAATCGGAGGTCTCACCCCTCACCGTAACTCTCTGCTTCCTATTGCTTAGATACTCCCTTATCCACTGGAGCACCTTACCAGCTACACCTGCCTGTCTCTCCAGCTTATGTACCAGCCTCTTATGCGGTACTGTGTCAAAGGCTTTCCGACAATCCAAGAAAATGCAGTCCGCCCAGCCCTCTCTTTCTTGCTTAATCTTTGTCACCTGATCGTAGAATTCTATCAAGCCTGTAAGGCAAGATTTACCCTCCCTGAACCCATGTTGGCGATTTGTTACGAAGTCCCTTCTCTCCAGATGTGTTACCAGGTTTTTTCTCACGATCTTCTCCATCACCTTGCATGGTATACAAGTCAAGGACACTGGCCTGTAGTTCAGTGCCTCTTGCCTGTCGCCCTTTTTGTATATTGGGACCACATTCGCCGTCTTCCATATTTCTGGGAGGTCTCCCGTCTCCAGTGACTTACTATACACTATGGAGAGTGGCAAGTATGTGTGTGTGTGTGTGTGTGTGTGTGTGTGTGTGTGTGTGTGTGTGTGTGTGTGTGTGTGTGTGTGTGTGTGTGTGTGTGCGTGCGTGCGTGCGTGCGTGCGTGCGTGCGTGCGTGCGTGCGTGCGTGCGTGCGTGTGTGTGTGTGTGTGTGTGTGTGTGTGTGTGTGTGTGTGTGTGTGTGTGTGTGTGTGTGCGTGAACATTTCCTCGGGCCAATTACCATGGGCATTGATTGGCAAGACCTGTTGGTACTGGCTTTGGGTCAGATGACACGTCGCTTTGGGTCAGCTTCCAGCGCCTAAGATAAGTTGTTTGTCAAGTCATGATCAGAGGGGTGTTTTTGTGCAGGTTATGGAGAGGAGACGGTGGGATGGTGCGAGCCCGGGATCAACACCATCTGCCTGCAGCTGGTGCGAGAGGTCCCGGTCCATAGTGGTCCAGGACACCCCACCACACTTCTCCCAACACTCACACCCTCACTTGTCTGGGTCGTACAGGTAACTGATTGTACTACTTTGATTGTTGATAGTCTGATAATAAACTAGCTAATAGTCAGGAAATAAACTAGCCGCTAGTTTATTTACCCCTCATACTCATTCTTAATAACATGTAAAAAGACAGAGTTCTCTAGTCTCTATTCACTGTTGCAGATTCTGACTTGTTCCAACAGTTTCAGAACCCTGTTGAAAGCCTCTTGTGTTTTTACCCCTAACCCTCGATCATATTTCCTCTTGTCCTGCGTCTCTCCAGGGAGCATTAGATTGAAACACACTTAAATCTGTCCTCGTAGCAAAGGTCCCACCATACCAGGCCATCTTTTTCTGTATATTATCAAGAATGTTCAGTCTTTAGTAGTAGTAGTAGGAGGAGGAGCAGAGTTGGCGAGGGTCGTCCACGAGGTCACCCGTGTTAGATATTGCTGATGGATGATGACACTTTTGCTTCTGTTTCTGAGGCTTCTTATTATAAATTCCTCTCCCTGTTTGATTTGTTTTGTTTATTTTTAATCCTTTGTAATAGTTCCAATCTCTCTCGCATTGTGATCTATCAAAAACTGTATTATTCATATTCAAATTCAAATGTTTATTCAGATAAAAGTGCGTATATAGAAGATGAGTTACAAACATAATGTTGGATTTATAGATAGAGCTGGTACATACAACACCTAAAGCCACTAATACGCACAGCGCTTCGGGCAACCAGGTCACGAGGCATATTGCATCACTTTCTTTCTCAACATAAATGAGCATTTACCGTTTTTCGGGCAGCATGAGAGCTTGTTAAGCATAGTAACGCCCTAAATGCATATTCCATATAAAAACCAGAACAACTAGAGGCAAAACAGTGCAAAAAAACAGGTTTAATTTTTACCCCGTCATTGAAGAAATTAAAACTGGACTATAAAAATTGAATGTTCGACTGGTAATATTGATTTCAAACCTGTTCAGCGTAATTCGAGTAATATGTTACTAGCATAAGGTAGATTTGTTTTATTTTAAATTATTATTTTGATTACTAATACATGTAAATACATAACTATTCCCTATAGATTATATTGCACGCGTCCTTAGCGCTCGCTCCGCCAACGATTTCGCCTGGCTTCGACCTCTTGAAAGGGAGGGATGATTGGGCACTAAAACTTAAACTAGTCGCTCTGTTCACTCAAAAGTAATTGGGGACCTGGTTGTAAACCGAGTGGCGGGTTGTGTTGCGGGGAAATCTAGTCGGGTAAGGCTTAAGATGAGCTAAGGCAAAGGGGAAAGTGTTAAGCCTGCTGACATGAGTCACAATTCGTATATACCTGTGTACAAAAAAAAAAATACATTGCTGTCTTACAAAAAGATTTACAGTAGTTTACAATATACTTTTTCCAAGCTTAATAATTTACTCGTCAGATGTATTTGAAGCAGTTCATAATAAATAATATACGGAAGTACACTTTGATTATTATAGGTAATATTATAAAAATATTGGGAAATATCAATAGCGAATTTAAAACGCTTCACATTTAATAACCTGTTACCAGATACAGGAGAGGTCTGATCTTTCTTCTTTTTGTGTAGGTTTCCAGTTATAATAACTTTCACCCACTTGTCCAGCCACTTGGGCTGGACGGACCATTCCCCCCCTCCCGTCCCATCCCAAATACTTATGCTGACTCCTTCCAAGTGCTATATAGTCGTAATGGCTTGGCGTTTTCTCCTGGTAGTTCCCTTCCCTTCCCTTCCCTTCATTCAATCGTTTTCACTAATTGTACGTTTTATTTATTAACGTTACAGCTATCCTAGCTTTTTTTTTATTCATGCAATGTCTTTTCTAAATTGTCTCAAATCTCACAGGATGGTTAATTATATCAACCATCCCAGAGAGATGGAGATTTCTAGTATCACTCTTGACACAAACTATGTAACCCATCGTTTAATAAACTATGTAACCCCTTCATAGTTTATAGCAGCTATATAAATGTTCAAACACCTATGTTAATAAAATAATAAAAAGTCTCATATTACGTAAATCAAACTCTGATATTAATTATTAATTTCCAGTACACTCGTAGATTACCATGCGCAAATCCCTTGATTGATGATATTGTATTGTTTTTATACAGTTTATTGTGCACCCCATACTCATCCTGTGAGCGGTAGCGCAAAAAGGATTACAGAGGGCACAAAAGGTTTTTATCAGACCTCAACGAAGATTATTACATTAACAATTTCATCTATGCTTCACACATTATAAACCGGTTGAATATGGTAGTTACCAGTGTCGTTGTTTGTCCCACAGACCAACACGGGTGTGGTGTATGGCGTGTGGGGGGCAGAGTGGGTGGCGCGCCGGCTCCACCAGGGACCCAGCGGCAGGGTGGCCGGCCTGGCCTTCTCCTCCACCCAGGCTCACCTGGCCGTCACCACGCTCCATCGCTACCTCCTGGTCACCGCCCTGCCACAGGTCTCCCAACCTGCTACTCCCATCATCCACTCACCTAGATCCACTCTCATATGTGCACGCACCTACAGTAGATGCACTTACTTAGACGCAGTCACCTAGATGCACTTATTTAAATACACTTACGCATGGTGATCTATGCGTACTCGATTAAAATTCACTCTCCTAGATATACTCATCTACATGTACTTACATATAGGTACTTTTCTAGATGCACTTACCTATATCTACTCACTTAGATGTATGTGTGTGAAGAATGAGGTAAAGTGTTACAGACTTTTCTCAGGTTTTAGACCATATTCGGGTGAAGGTGACTCTGGTGGCAGGCGCCATTTTCCTTTCCAAGTTTGGGTTATTCATTATTAACTTTGCCACTGACAATTTCCCAAGTCTCTCTGAGATACATGAAGAGTAAAAATAACCTAGATCGTGTACAGTGTTACTTTGTGGCATTCAGAAGTTCCAAGAATCCAAACCGGTTTGATGACCTACATGGCGTTTTGGTATAAATTCTGTGAATTTTTTCATGATTTAAATATATTTTCACGTCTATTGGATTGAGTGGCTAGGCTGTGATCACTAGATCGCAGGTTCGAGCCCAGCAAGTGTCCTTGGTATTACATATTCTCACCGCATAGTGCGAGTTCATTCATAGTTGAGAACATATGGATAACATAATCACATCTGTTCCGCAACTCGGATTCTTTCGACAGTTGTGTACAATTGATTAGAAGCTGTGAAGCTTGCCAGAGTTTGTCTTTGCTGAACGAAGATGAGTGATGGTGAGGAATGGTGTATGAGGAGCCATATGAGGCTGTGTATGAGGATGTCCAGGAGGAGGAGGAGGAGGAGGAGGAGGAGGTACAGGACAGAGGTAGGAGGATGGTATGTGTGTGAAAGAGAGAAAGAGAAAGTGTTGCCACAACAGGTCCACCAGTCTACCTTGACGAGTATTTACCTGTACTATTCAAGTACCTGTAATCGTAGATGAAGTCATGCGAATTTATATAAATATAAATATATATAATTTTGTACAGTTAATCGATGATTATATTAGACATCCCTGAGTTGTAGTGCTTATTGTAACATCATTAATTTCATAATTATCATATTAGACATGTGATACATGTACACATCAACTGGAATGTTCTCTTTCTCTCCGTATGTGTGTGTGGAGGAACAGTCATGCGAGGAGGAGGACCCGGAGTGTGTGGGTGATGGAGACTACAGGACGGTGAAGGTGCCGAGGCCGCTCGTCAGGGCACAGGTGGAGGGCACGCCTTGCTGCGTCGTCTGGGCCACCTGTCAGGTAGGTGACCATAACAGAGTCGTCTGGGCCACCTGTTAGCTAGGTGAGCACAGTCGGGTCGTCTGGGCCTCACACCACTATTCATAAGTACAGCGAAAGAAAGCAGAACATTTTTAGAATTCGTCATTCCTGATTCAGTTTTCTTGGAAAGAACTAGGTAAAATTTAAGGCAGTAAATGATGGTATGGATGTAGTGAACCATAACAGGCTCCTGGGACTCTCAGGCTAACAACACAGCCACAAGTCTCACTAGGAATATGTTCAACACTAACTAGAGTGTTGGCATTACAAGGATAAATCTCCGTCTGGAATTGTCTGCTTTCCTTATATGAATGGAACGGTCTTCTCTTTTTGTGGGGGGTTTCTATTTGCTTTCCCGTCTGCAATGCATACGTCGCCAATGTACATGTGGCAGACGTTTCACGAAACTGTCGGAATCAGCAGAGAAAATACGAGAGCAACCGTACAGGGCCTGGGAGCAAGGTCGAGTTAGAGTCCTTGAGGGTCTCTTCTCAGACTAGCCTCACCTGGTCCTGGTCCACGTTGATCGTTGGAATCTCCTCAATGATTTAACACTTTAAGGGACTCCTAGGGTCCTCATCACATTTATAGTTTAGTGAATATAGGCAACTCGGTGTTGAAGACATCTAGAGCTGAAGACTTGAGTAAATAATTGGCAGTATTCAGAAGTGGTTCAACGGAAACACCGCATAAAGCTTAACAGTAGTTTATTTACTAACTTAACCACTAATCAAAAGGGTGCTTGGTTTACTTTAGATTGGCGTCAGAAAGGCTATGGTTGTATTAGCGAGACTCTTGGCGTCTGGCTAATGGACTCGTATCCACTCGTGGAGTAACACCTAACTTAACACAACTGACAGCCAATCATTAACACGGCAACCTAACTGCCGGTATGCAAAGGGATCACAAGAGTTCCAACCGGATACTCGGGTAATGATATGCAATAAACACAATGGCACTGTCAGTGGGACAGGCAATAACATGCACAATAATAATAACACACAATACTAAATGTGTTGTGTATGTGAAGCTCACATTCACAGACGAGTGTGAAATACCGCGATACCACACAGATAAACACGCATACACCGTCGGGTGCCTTCATCTATAACCTGTGTCAGGTATGAGAAGGTGAGAACTGTAGTTGATCCCTCAGATCAACACAGACACAATAAAACAATGACAAGATCTTGTACTTACAGGTGGGGTACCTCTCTTTATTCACTCACTCACTCACTCACTCACTCACTCACTCACTCACTCACTCACTCACTCACTCACTCATGCACATTTATGCAAGGACTCATAGGTGGCCTGACAGCTGGTTCCTCGTTACAACGTGAGACCATTGGCGACAGGCTTTCCCGCAAACCACACTTGAAACGCGGGGTACTCGCAGGAGGGCGTGCTGTATGTCAACAGACACACGCACACACACTTATGGCACTGGCGGTGAGTAAGATGGTGACGTCATGTGGTACAGTGAGGGCGGCGGCGGGCAGCTGGCGGGCTACACGCTCGGGACAGAGTGGCAGCTGTATGGTACCATGTGGTACACTCTGGTACACACAGGTCACTTAGGCAGCGGCACTCCTTAGTTCACTCTTGGTCACTCACAACGATTTTTGTCACCAGGGGTTACCTGATACCAGTCTGTTTCGCTCTGGTGATTTTGTTACGATAGGCTTCTAAACAATATAGTCACAGTCGCAATTCACGGCGAGCGTTGGTATATCGAGAAGATGCTGAGTTTAACTTGTCGGTGAGGAATGGACGGTGTTCTGTCTATTGGCCGAGAGACAGAACAAGACATGTCCTCTGTGCAAGGGCTCCCTCACGTGAATGCTCTTGCCTGGGGCTCAGGGCATCTCGTGGGGCACAACACAAGGGGTTACAATTTGACCAATAGCATTGCAGCAAATGAGCGGGAACCAATCATATTGATCATTCCCTGATCAGTAGCAGAGGTGACGTCAAGGACACGTCACGACCACGTCACAGTTGTTATTCTCCATCGCACCGGTTGAGGCTGACCCAGAGGTCAGATCGTTGCCTGAGCTGGTGTCCTCTCTGCTCTCTCACGCCTCGCACCAGCCAATGTACTCTCAGATCTTATGGCCAGTAACTTCCCTGTATCTACTCCCTGCCTCGACATACGGCGGCCTCCATATTATAAACGTGTTCCTGGTTAAGTGGGCATCCTGGGGACAAACAAACATGACAGATTAATATCCAGGGTTAACAGCGATAGGGCTTGTGCACGAGGATCACTGTGCACTGCAAATAGCCATTCAAGTCAGCTGTGGGAGAATCTTGAGAGGCCATACTCTTACATCACCCCCAACAAAAGACCGAGTTTCACAGAGTGGAGCGCATTCTACCTCACACCGCTGACGCACGTGCACGTGCATCTCTAAATTTCTACATTTTTACACGGTGTAAAAAGTAGTCTGGCTCTAGTCACTCTAGTGTGTGCTTCTGTCTTTGTCCACACACTTTACACTTTATTTCATCAAGCTCCCCATATATGTTCGGCTTGTGTGGACACCTGGCATAATGTTGTATCATCTATAAATGAAATTTTCGGCACCGAGTCCATAGAGTTTTATTTTAAATAACTTCCATCCCTCTAATATTATTGCAGTATTCCGTATTATTTTCTACATGATAATGTTGTAACGGGGGGTGGGGGAAATAGCTCTATCTTGTCCATTATTCCACCCCCCCAGTTAACTAACGAGGCCGGGGGAAACAGCTCTCTCTAGTCCGTTATCCCGTCCCCAGTTAGCTAACTATTCTAGAGCACCCTCCAGAGTTCCTAAGGCAACCTCTCTCGTTCAACACCTTGTAACCTAGGTATTTGACTACCTAGGTGCTAAGACTACAAGGAGCCGTAACTGGATCAGCTACCCGAAACTCTAGAGAGAACTCTAGAATACAGAATCATTGCCACAAACGTATAAGAGGAAACGAAAGGAAAGAAATGAATAGTGAAGTAATTAGTGAGGGTTTGGGGTAAGAGGTAGGGAGGTGGGAGGAGCGAGGAGGGTCATTAGTTGAAAGTGAGAGTTTAGAGATGGGTGGAGGGAGAGGTGTAGATAGGTAGAAGTAGAAGAGTAGATAGAAGTTGTAGAAAGTAGATAGTAGAAGACGAAATGCTGCCACCATCCATTCATGATCATTACATACAAGACAAGGAATGGAACTTGCCTGTATCACAAAATTCTCAAAGGATGTTATCATGAGTTCATTATTAGTATGTTCCCTCTGTACCATGTATCAACTCCAAACATGTACTCATTTATATCATGAACCCAGTAACCACAGAGGCTTTCTCAAATCCTCAACTCAAAGCTCTAGGGAGCAAAGTTAAACACAATTTAAATAATAAATTCATAATTATATTTCACATGAAGTATCATAATTTAGCAATTCAATTAAAATGTTCCAGTTTAATATGCAAAGTGAGTCATCATCCAAGAATTCGAGAACCCTACAACTTGACTGCCCCTGATCATCACACAACATATGTAAACACGACCAAGTCACCTTAATGTTCACTCACCGAGTACTGAGTCTAAGTTGAATAGAGAGGGGGGGGGGGTCTGTAGCTTGACAGAGACTGTCTCGCCCCTGCCGGCCGACAACCTCCCTGGTAGGGACGTCTTCTCTCTCTCGTCTGCTGCTCTGTCTGTTAATGCTCCATGCTGGATAGCTCTCCGAGTTTATATTGGGGAACCTAGTAGCTAACTCCGCCCACAAGTAGATAGCCTCCGGCACTACCAAGCCACTCCTCAAACGTCGGCTTGTTTGAAGGCTACCAGACTACAATTAAGAGCTTAGCGGAAGCAAGGTGAAATTCTCATGATCTGACCTCAGGTCACTTGAGGTCATTAACGCTTTGAGGTGTGAGATCTCAGGCAGACAACTGGCGCCTTTCCAAATCCGTCTGTGACTCATATTCTATATATATTTTAAATAAACTAACCCAAACACTTTTACAGTGTTACATCTCCCCTTCTCCCCGAAATAAAGTTTTTGCAACACTGCTAAAGCAAGCTAGCTGTGTGCAACAACTTTATTAACGAAAAAAAAAATACATCCTAGCTAAACAAATATACATCATCCTACTCTAAAAAATGAAATATGTAGACAGACGTCCATTGTCTCTGGCTGGGCGACGTCACTGCTTGGTCTTGTAGATAATCCTGTACCACATTTCTTCAACACAACTGCCTCCGTCGCTTCTCCGTCGTTAACGCACAACAACACTTGGTCAACCCGAAAGCCGTTACTACTTGAACTGAGCACAGGACCGTGGAATTCGGTTGTCCCAGCTGATCTGTAATTGGCCCTACGTCAGTCACCATGAGAGACGTATATTGGGGTTCTTCACAGCTATAGGGACTACAAGTTTCGAGACCTTCATATAGTTGCCAACAGTAGAAATCCCATCCTACTCTTCTTCCTCCCTGTTGCTCCAGCACGCCTCCTTCAGAGAGCTACTTCTGACAGCCACATCAAGTCCGCATGACACAGGAAGAATCACTCAACAGAGCAACATGCTTGTAGGAGGGGCGGCCAGTCAAGGCAAACGATCCTGTCTTGCAATTACGCTCCATGCAATAATGCTGACACCAGCAAGGGACACTAGGTATCGTGTCTCAGCTTGGCTTATCTTCTTCTTTTTCTTCTCTCTTCTTTCTTCTCTCTTCTTTCTTCTCTCTTCTTTCTTCTTTCTTCTCTCTTCCTCCTCCCATGGGTCTTTGACAAGCGACCTGGGGTCCATTGGGGGTCTGTCCGTCCTGGGGTCCATCCTGGGTAGACCGATGTTGGTGGGACAGACTGGAGTCGTTGTTGCTCCTCTTCCATCATTACTGGGTCGTCTGGGGTCGTCTGCAGAACGACCTGGGGTCCACTGGGGGTCCGTCCGTCTTGGGGTCCACTGGGGTCCGTCCGTCTTGGGGTCCACTGGGGTCCGTCCGTCTTGGGGTCCACTGGGTAGACCAATGTTGACCGACCGAGAGGGCTGCATCTTGGGGTCCCCTGGGGTGGTGGTGGTGGTGGTGGCCCTGACATCCAGGTAGGGGCTGGTCGTCGTGGTGGTGAGGAACAGCCGTGAGTGTGGTATAAGGCAGCCGTCTCCCTCTTCTGTATGTGCGTCTCTCCTCTCTTCTGGCTCCCACCTGTGAAATGAACAGAAAGGCGACAATACGTGTTCCCAAGATGTTTGTGTGACCCTGTCGTTTGTATAGGGTTACACAGTCCTATCATACCGCTCTCCTCCTGGCAACAACTACACTTCAATTTTTTTTTTTTTTTTTAATAATTCAATTAACTCTGAATGATATTGACTTGGTGGAACATAAAACAGTAACAGAGTAAAGTTAGAGAAGAGAGAATAAGGTCATCACTACTTTTAACTTGTCACAAAAAAAAAAATCAACACTAATAGACAAAACACTAGCCTAAACTTAACTGTACCGTTCCTAATCTTAAGTACATAATTAACCATTACTCCCACCCTTAACCTACAGCCACCTACGTGACCCAGAGTGTTTCCCTAGCTTCTCCGCCGGTAAACAACTCCCAAACTGTTGTCACCCCTGTGACCAGACTATCTAACGTCGAGCGTCCCCAACGTGAAGTCTACTGACACACTAGTCCACACTAGCATGCTGTACAATACCAGTACACCTCGGGTTATTGCGTTCAAATGGAGTAAAACAGTCGATCGCAATAATCTGAGCAGAACCACACTTAAACTACTTAAGAACTACACCTGCCACTCCCCACTGACCTGGAGACCAGCGGTGGCTGGGTGTCCCCGTGGGACATGCGAGGTCACCTGTCACACTCAGCTGACCTGCACTACCAACACCGCTAAGTTCCCAAATCGCCAAATCTTATTACTAACATAAATCACTACACACGCAAGTTCTGGTGAACATTCCCTGAACACCACAAAACTCACAAAATCACTAAACACAACACCAGAGAATCACTATCTCCTAACCTGAAAAAAGTTCGCTAACTCGCGAATATTAAACACCTGTCAAGATCTCCCTGATAGCGCCTGAGCGGCAAAAAGACACGTGGGACTGAACAATGTTAAAAGAACACCAATACCTTAAACATTGTTCAACACCGCTGCCATCATTGTAACGGGGGGTGGGGGAAATAGCTCTATCTTGTCCATTATTCCACCCCCCAGTTAACTAACGAGGCCGGGGGAAACAGCTCTCTCTAGTCCGTTATCCCGTCCCCAGTTAGCTAACTATTCTAGAGCACCCTCCAGAGTTCCTAAGGCAACCTCTCTCGTTCAACACCTTGTAACCTAGGTATTTGACTACCTAGGTGCTAAGACTACAAGGAGCCGTAACTGGATCAGCTACCCGAAACTCTAGAGAGAACTCTAGAATACAGAATCATTGCCACAAACGTATAAGAGGAAACGAAAGGAAAGAAATGAATAGTGAAGTAATTAGTGAGGGTTTGGGGTAAGAGGTAGGGAGGTGGGAGGAGCGAGGAGGGTCATTAGTTGAAAGTGAGAGTTTAGAGATGGGTGGAGGGAGAGGTGTAGATAGGTAGAAGTAGAAGAGTAGATAGAAGTTGTAGAAAGTAGATAGTAGAAGACGAAATGCTGCCACCATCCATTCATGATCATTACATACAAGACAAGGAATGGAACTTGCCTGTATCACAAAATTCTCAAAGGATGTTATCATGAGTTCATTATTAGTATGTTCCCTCTGTACCATGTATCAACTCCAAACATGTACTCATTTATATCATGAACCCAGTAACCACAGAGGCTTTCTCAAATCCTCAACTCAAAGCTCTAGGGAGCAAAGTTAAACACAATTTAAATAATAAATTCATAATTATATTTCACATGAAGTATCATAATTTAGCAATTCAATTAAAATGTTCCAGTTTAATATGCAAAGTGAGTCATCATCCAAGAATTCGAGAACCCTACAACTTGACTGCCCCTGATCATCACACAACATATGTAAACACGACCAAGTCACCTTAATGTTCACTCACCGAGTACTGAGTCTAAGTTGAATAGAGAGGGGGGGGGGGGGTCTGTAGCTTGACAGAGACTGTCTCGCCCTGCCGGCCGACAGCCTCCCTGGTAGGGCTGTCTTCTCTGCTCTCTGTCTGCTGTTCTGTCTGTTAATGCTCCATGCTGGATAGCTCTCCGAGTTTATATTGGGGAACCTAGTAGCTAACTCCGCCCACAAGTAGATAGCCTCCGGCACTACCAAGCCACTCCTCAAACGTCGGCTTGTTTGAAGGCTACCAGACTACAATTAAGAGCTTAGCGGAAGCAAGGTGAAATTCTCATGATCTGACCTCAGGTCACTTGAGGTCATTAACGCTTTGAGGTGTGAGATCTCAGGCAGACAACTGGCGCCTTTCCAAATCCGTCTGTGACTCATATTCTATATATATTTTAAATAAACTAACCCAAACACTTTTACAGTGTTACATAATGATGAACTCTTCAAAGTTAATTTACAAATTGCATTGCACACAGTATATGTCGCTATATGACACATTTTGTTGAAGTTCTCAACATCTTTGAAAGAACGCAGATGGATACAATTGAATCTAATAGCGCAGTGGTCTACGCCCACTTATACCCGAGGATCCTAGGTTCGATCCTCAGGTGGGACAGAGACTGTTAGGTATGTTTTCGTTTGCCTCATGCATATATTCACCTGGCAGAAAATAGGTACTCGGGAATTAGGCAACAATTATAGAGTGTATCCTAGGGAAGGCTATCAGAAGTTGGCCTAGGGGGGGGGAGGGGGGGAAGGGAACTATCGGGGGGAAAGCGCCAAGCCAGTGATTGAGGCCCCCCCCAATTTTTTTTGGGGGGGGGGCCTCAATAAGTCTAACAGACTTCCTGTCCCCAAGATTGGGAAACCATATTAGTAGACATAACAGTATACATTCCATACCTGGTGAGGTGAGGTGCCTTTACGGGTTATTCATGCCCGTGCCACCTCTTGGGTGGTTTAATCTTCATCAATCAAGTAAGGAGAAACCAGTCTATTTTGACTGGGGCGTAGGTGTGGTAGGTGACACCTTTGTCTTGGTCTTGAGGATACTTGTACATGTTTAAGTGTAAGTTGGCTCTTGATAGTTGAATGAGTGTTTGACATGTAGTGCTTTGGCTACGTCCAGCCTATTATATGTGCACGTATAAATTACTTCCATTTTGCTGGTTAGGATATTTCTGGTGATACTCTGGTTGTGTGTCGGAATTATATGATCTTAATAGAGAGTTGTTTGTGCATTATTAGATGCTTTGATAGAAATGTCGTCTTGCCAACATATTCAGATCGTTGGTGCTGACAGTTCTCAAGAGGACACGCGAAGCCATTCGTTTCTTTCAAGTCCTTCCATTTGGTGTTGGGACAGTTCTTGATGACAAAGTTGAATGTCTTCTTGCATTCAAAATCCAAAGAGGTTGCTTATGTTTGTTCATGTTCCAGGTGACTGGGGAAGAGGACCTGGTGGTAGTAGGCCTGGAGGATGGCTCAGTGAACCTATTCGTGTTTCATATGGCCATCAGGACCAAGGAGGAGCACCTCACCCTCATCCAGGTGGAGCGGCCCCACGAAGCCCCTATCCTCCACATGAGTGCATCAAAGAAAGCCAAGCCTGGAGAAGCAAGGACAACCCCGGTGCTTGTGACAGCCGCAGCCGACAGACGAGTCTTCATATTCCGGCTCATCAGAGTTGGAAAAATAACAAAATTAGAGCCTGTTGGATTCCACCATTTAGATTCTGTGCCAGAGAGGATTGAAGTAAAAGGGGTAAGGTGTTTTTAAGGTACAGTTGTAGCTGAAGTATCTATATTTATGGATACTTCATTTATATTTATGGATATTATGGAAGAGGGAAATATACCAAACATGTAATTATGTAATGAAATGTAATTATTCTTACCGATAAATTGTAATTTCTCTACGTCACACGTAACTATATAAAAATAACACAATAATATTGATAATGATAATTATTACTATGTCCAACTGTGAAGGAGAAAATAAAGTGTGTGTAGGGAATGCTTTAAATTAAAAAAAAACTATTGGTGGAATTAATGACATAAGTATCCGTGACAGTTTCTGTTCCGTGACACATTTGTGTGTCTAAATGTGAATTAAATAGATGTTGTAGTGTGAGAAGAGTGTATGACACAATACCAGAAGATATATCCAAAGGCGAAGATGTATCCAAAGGTATCAGGGCAAAAGGTATATGCAGAAATGATCAAGTGCAGTGGAAAGAAAGGGAACCCAATGGTATGAATAATTTGACAAGAAAGTAAAGGCTGTGTTGTGCCAGATAATTCTTAAATTACTCTTTACCCTTTTATATAAATAATGGTAAACATATCGAGTGTAAGAACCAAATAGGAATTAGTCCCAAATATGTGTAGGTTAATTCTGTAATGAGTTATTGGTATGATATTAAGGTAGGAGTAGGCCAGGAGTGTGATGCGTGTCCTTGGTTAGTATGTACTTGTGGACGGGGGCACGAGGAAGGTTAAGGTAAAGATGCCAGGGAAGGTTGTTAATACGAATACGTGAAATATATTTCATTTCATGCACCCGTACGAGGCAGTGCTTCTGTCAGGTAATTGTAAACATATGTAGATCAGTTGAAAGTTATGCTGACAAGTAAACAAATAATACTAACAGTTAATGTGGGCAAACGTAATGGTGGAGGAGGTGAGGTGGGGGGGGGGGGAACTGTATTTTTTTAGCGGTAAATGGAAAAGTCTCCGAAGAGGTCAATCACCATAAATACCTGCCACCTGTAGGCGATAAAAAGAGGAATTTGTGCAAGAGGAGTTAAGAATAGAGTAGACCAGGAAAAGAAAGTGGCTGGTGCATGAACAGCTTGTGTAGTAGTTGTAGTAAGGTAGGAAGAGATGCGCTAGAGGGCTGCGAGCAGCTGCAGTAGTGACCAGTCTTGTCTCACTCTTCACATCATCCAACAAACATCTAACATAAAGTGGTTTTTGCTTATCCAAAAAGTACGAAGACAAACCCACGTAATCTATCAGACAAATGTTCGTTAGTAAAACAATGTGTATAAACTCAGTCGCTTAAATTCCAATTAAGCATCCCAATTTCGATGCTGCTGTCGATAGTGTCTAAATTACACTCTCCTAGTTATATGCTCCCTTAATGATGCATTTAGACTGACGATTCGTGTGCTAATCTTCATAGATTCTAAGTTATTGTTGGTTAAATGTGAGGTCGGGTTATGTACAGGTTTTGGATGCAAATATCAAACAGTGAGAACATAAAAAATGTATATTATGTAGTGCACTTGTTTTGCGAGAAAGATAAATGGAGTATGGAAATATAATGGTTATGGAATGATGTGGGGCGCTAGTGTCGTCAATATGTAGTGAGTGTCCGTGTTAATGTTGGGAGTGGGAGATGGTGAGGAAGGTGAAGGGCAGAGTGGGCAGACGGGGTAGTGAAGGTGAAGGACAGAGCGGGAAGACGGGATAGTGAAGGTGACGGGAAGGTGAAGAACAGTTGCCAGACGGGGTAGTGAAGGTGACGGGAAGGTGAGAAGTGGCGGGAAATAAGTTTAAAGTGAATCAATTTGAGAGGAAAGGAAATGTTAAGGAGAACGCGCCAGTTAAGCCGTTGCGAATATATAACACTTGGAAGGGATTTGAGGACAAGCCAGGAGCTGGGATAGCTGGTAGGAATGAAAGAACAATGCCAAACCACTTGGGCCATCGGGGATCGAACGCCGACCCTGCAAGAAGCGAGACCGTCACTGTAATTTTAGAGGAAGTGAATGTTTAAATATTTATTTTAAATGTTAGGGAGAGGCACTATTCATCTATAGTTTTATTCATTTTCCTCCAGGATGATTCATGAACATCTGATGAAAACATACAGCTGAGTAATGCTGGTATGATGATGATAACATTAATCTGAAAAATAATAACAACTAAATAATAATATTAATTAGTAGTAATAATAATAATAATAAATAATAATAATAATAATAATAATAATAATAATAATTAATAATAATAATTAGTAATAATACTAATAATATTGACGATGATAATTAAGAATACTACTAACACTACTACTACTACTACTACTACTACTACTACTACTACTACTAATAATAATAATAATAATAATAATAATATTGCAGGAGACTATTCAAGTTGTAATGCTTGATGGTATTGTTCTGGAAATCGCAGCCTACCCAGGCACCAGCACAGCGACGGCGAGGTCGACCACATCCTCCACAGTGACGCCCAACACCTCGGCGAGGGCGGCGTCCGACTCCTGGCTGCTGCAACGGCACACGGGGCCCAGGGAGTCCTGGCAGGGCGTGAGGGTAGTGCGGCACCAGCTGCTGGAGGAGGCTGCCAGGGTGGTGCACCACCAGGAGGCTGCCAGTCCTGGCTGCTCCTACCACGACCACAATCTCATCCTCGCAGTTCCTTCGTAAGCTCCACCAGTCTCTTGCAGGCTGCATTTGCTGTTCTTAATGATCTTAAAAGTAATTGTTCTTTATTTCTTGGGGTCCGCAATGACGAACACTCCAGTCTGCCAGCTCTGTATGCTCTTCGTTTATAGGAAAAATAAATACTTTGTACAAGGTTTATATTTAAATGTTTATGCTTATGACTTTCTTCATTCAATGCTTGTTTCTCAGGCCTGATGGAGAAACAGTGGTAGGAGTGACGTCCCATGGCCGCCTGGTCCACATACATCAGTCCCACAAGTCCTACAGCATCAGGGTCTCTGGCGAGACACTGGCCAGTCCCACCTCAGCCAAAACACACACTCAAGTTATCAGGCGGCCAACTATCATCTGTCGCAAAGGCGAGTGAAGCATTTAGTCATTATTGAAGTTTGTATTGCCTTGAAGTGGAGGTCTTAGTGCTTACTGATGCTTGTAAGGCATAGTTGTGGAGGTCTTGGTGCTTACTGATGTTTTTAATAATTAGACTACATTGCAATATATATGTTATTCGAATGTATATCTTTAAATCCTTAATTGCATTGAGGTTTTAAAAACTTGTCATCTTACATGAGATACACGAATCTATTTATTTACCGCGTCTAGATTATGGTTCTGGTTGCAACCATTAAGCAGTTGTTTTAAGCCAAGGTTAGAATTTGTAATGGTCTTGTACATGGGTGAAGCACATGTACAGGACAATATGTGTAAAGGATAGATGTTCCTTAATGTAGACTTTTTTTTTATCTCAAGGGATTGGAATATGGGTTGCTCATGTTGCTCTCTGTAACTCTTTCCAATACCGCCCACAAGATGGGTATGGGGTGCATAATAAATGAATTAAACTAACTCTTGTTGCTAAAGAAAATAAGAGTTGGACAGGATTCCGATAGATGACTTTTGTCGACAAACTTGCGAACTAGACACGTACGCGTCCTGTATGTGAGATACGGATAGATCCGCGAATTATAAAGGTTAGAAGAGGGAAAGCTGGATATAAAGTAGAGCTCTGAGAGTGTACCTACGTTCTAGATGCTACTTTTTGTACTGGATATGTGTATTAAAGTTGAACTTTGTTATATATGTTATTCTCTTGGACTTTTTTTTCTGGGTAGCATCTCTACTTGCATGCGTTATTCACAAATACTGTATGTAGGTTTTTGTTTATTTTAAGTGTGAGTTTCTTTATGAAGGCAAATTATTAATAAGAGTATTAATTAAGCTGTGTAGTAAGGTCTGAGGTCATCTACGTTTAGTAAGGGAAGTAAGCCCTCGACGGCTAGTGAGTATGAAAGTTTGTGGACAATTGGTGGTCCTGATTTTGTGAATGTTTGGTCACTTTCTAATTGTCGACCATAAACTTATAGAAATGTACGAAAGTATCTCTGATGACTTTTTATAGATAATTTTTCTTTCCATGTGTTCTTTCCCGCAAAGACGTTGGTGGGAGCGCTAGTGAGAACGGGCGTCGGAACGCGGTAGCCTGCGTGAGTGAGGACGGGGCGTGGGCGGCTGCCTGGGTACTGGGCAACGACCTTTTCCTCTACAAAGCTACAGGGGCATCTTTTCCTGGGCCGCAGGAGACGCAGACGCAGCTGCGCTTTCTAGTTAGTGTCGGCACAGGCAGTCAGGTCCCATGTGGTTTCTGCTCCCTAGCGGGTCATAATATTTTGTTTCCAGACATTGTTTCCAAATTAGATTAACGTCTTCGTGTTGCAGTCATTATACGCGACTCTCAAATCAGTAGGTCAGTACTCGTAGTTAACAATGTTGTATTGTTTACAACACGCCTGCTCTGAACCCTGGCCGTCCTCTCGCGTTGTGGTGACCTCACTTCCTCACACGTGTCCAGCCTCACTCACTGGTCTTCCTCACTTGTGTCCAGCCTCACTCACTTGTCTTCCTCACTTGTGTCCAGCCTCACTTGTGTCCAGCCTCACTCACTTGTCTTCCTCACTTGTGTCCAGCCTCACTCACGGGTCTTCCTCACTTGTGTCCAGCCTCACTTGTGTCCAGCCTCACTCACTGGTCTTCCTCACTTGTGTCCAGCCTCACTCACTGGTCTTCCTCACTTGTGTCCAGCCTTACTCACTGGTCTTCCTCACATGTGTCCAGCCTTACTCACTGGTCTTCCTCACATGTGTCCAGCCTTACTCACTGGTCTTCCTTACACGTGTCCAGCCTCACTCACTGGTCTTCCTCACTTGTGTCCAGCCTCACTCACTGGTCTTCCTCACTTGTGTCCAGCCTCACTCGTGTCCAGCCTCACTCACTGGTCTTCCTTACATGTGTCCAGCCTCACTCACTGGTCTTCCTTACATGTGTCCAGCCTCACTCACTGGCCTTCCTCACTTGTGTCCAGCCTCACTCACTGGTCTTCCTTACATGTGTCCAGCCTCACTCACTGGTCTTCCTCACTTGTGTCCAGCCTCACTCACTGGTCTTCCTCACTTGTGTCCAGCCTCACTCACTGGTCTTCCTCACTTGTGTCCAGCCTCACTCACTGGTCTTCCTCACTTGTGTCCAGCCTCACCCACTGGTCTTCCTCACATGTGTCCAGCCTCACCCACTGGTCTTCCTCGCTTGTGTCCAGCCTCACTCACTGGTCTTCCTCACATGTGTCCAGCCTCACTCACTGGTCTTCCTCACATGTGTCCAGCCTCACTCACTGGTCTTCCTCACTTGTGTCCAGCCTCACTCACTAGTCTTCCTCACTTGTGTCCAGCCTCACTCACTGGTCTTCCTCACATGTGTCCAGCCTCACCCACTGGTCTTCCTCACATTTGTCCAGCCTCATCTTGTGTACTGCACTAAATATTCAGAATATTCGATTTGATTATAAATACAATCTGTTATTGTGATCACATATTCAAATCAGTGTATAATCAGTGTATAAGTCGCTTAATAATAATGACTATATTTGTGTGTGTGAAGGGCGTGCGGGGCGTGGGGGTGAGCGGCGCGGCGCCCAGTCTGGAGCAGCGGGCGCAGAAGGAGGCGGCTGACCGTCGCAGGGCCAGCATGGAACACCAGGCTACGCTCCTCCAGCAGAAGCTCTCCAAGCTCAAGTGGGATTTTAAAAAGCTGACTGTAAGGTAGTGTATAGTGTGAATAGCTGTCAAAGTGTATAAACAAGGTCGTGCAGACTTGATTTGAGACTCAGCTGTATTTTGGGGAGCCGGTCGGCTGAGCGGACAGCACACTGGACTTGTGATCCTGTGGTCCCGGGTTCGATCCCAGGCGCCGGCGAAAAACAATGGGCAGAGTTTCTTTCACCCTAAGCCCCTGTTACCTAGCAGTAAAATAGGTACCTGGGTGTTAGTCAGCTGTCACGGGCTGCTTCCTGGGGGTGGATGGAGGCCTGGTCGAGGACCGGGCCGCGGGGACACTAAAGCCCCGAAATCATCTCAAGATAACTCAAGATAACCCAACTGATCCTTACCTGGTGTGTCTATGGGTCGTGATTCTCGAGCCTCGCCTCATAGCTATCGCACTCGGCTCGTTTACTCATGCCTACATAATCGTCTTAATTATGGCAGTCAGCATAATTGTTCACCGTCATAATTGCTTCTGAAGCTGAAGCTGTGAATGAATCTGGGGTTCTATACGTCTGGCTCAGTGTCAGTCAACTTCATATGAATATTTCCTTATATTTGTCTGACTCATTTGTGCTTCCAACTGATACATGTGCCCCTTGTTTTTTGTCTTTCAACTGGAAACGATTATGTTCATCAGACTGTGTCCACTCCCCCTCACCCAGGACGTGACATTAGGTTGATATCAATATCTGAATTACTTTTCCAGAGTCGAACGTTTTAGATCACTTTGCCTTTATAGCTCATTTATCTGATCTATGGTACCTGACTTCTGGCAGATCCTTGAAGTTGCTCGTTTGCAACAGACCTGCGCAGCCAGTCCTAAATTCTAAAGGAGGAGAATTCAACATATTAAATTTTAATAATAAACATAAAAACATAATGACTGGGATGCTGTGTATGGAGTCAGCCTCCATCACATCACTTCCTAATGCATTCCATTTGTCAACTACTCTGACACTGAAAAAATTCTTTCTAACGTCTCTATGGCTCTTTTCGGCACTCAATTTCCACCTGTGTCCCCTAGTGTGTGTGCCCCTTGTGTTTAAAAGTCTGTCTTTATCTACCCTATCAATTCCTCTGAGAATCTTGTATGTGGTGATCATGTCCCCTCTAACTTTTCTGTCTCCCAGTGACGTGAGGTTTAATTCCCGTAGTCTCTCCTCGTAGCTCATACCCCTCAGTTCGGGTACTAGTCTGGTGGCAAACCTTTGAACCGTTTCCAGTTTGGTCTTATGCGTGACCCATGTCTGCTATTTTTAAACAATGCTGTTTGTCGACCAAATTGTATTTTTGCTATTTTTCTGCCATGTTCCCCCATTTTATATTTTTATATTTTCTCAACACATTTTATACTTTAATCTCAATTAGCATTAAGTTTTTGTCTTTAGTGTTTTTCCTGCCCGAAACGCTTTGCGTAATAGTGGCTTTAGGCATTGTATATACTAGCTCTTTCTATAAATCCATCAATATTTGTATCACACCTTGTATGTATGTACTTTACCTGAATAAACATTTGAATTTTGAAACATTTGAGATATAGACTCCATACTGGAGCCGCATACTCCAGGATTGGTCTGACATATGTGGTATATAATGTTCTGAAAGATACCTTACACAAGTTTCTAAAGGCCGTTCTTATGTTAGCCAACCTGGCATATGCCGCTGATGTTATCCTCTTGATATGAGCTTCAGGGGACAGGTCTGGCGTGATATCAACCCCTAGGTCTTTCTCTCTCTCTGACTCTTGAAGTATTTTATCTCCCAAATGATACCTTGTATCTGGTCGCCTGCTCCCTACTCCTATCTTCATTACATTACATTTGCTTGAATTAAACTCTAACAACCATTTATTCGACCATTCCTGCACCTTTTATTAATTATTATTCTTTCTCACAGAGCTGATGAAACTGAGGAAGGCCGAACATTGTTGGAGGAGCTGCCCTTGCACTCCACCATAACGTCCACTCTCCACCAGCTCACCAACAACAACATGAATAAGGTAGATGTCTTCCCCATCACCTGCACCTTCCCCCATCATCACTACCCACCACCATCACATCTCTCTATAACGCCAACCCCCCACCCTCAGCACTCACCCCCCACCTTCCACCACCACCCTCAACACTCACCCCCACCTTCCACCACCACCTTCAACACTCACCCCCACCTTCCACCACCACCCTCAACACTCACCCCCACCTTCCTCCACCACCCTAACCACTCACCCCCACCTTCCTCCACCACCCTCAACACTCACCCCCACCTTCCTCCATCACCCTCAACACTCACCCCCCCCCCCCAACCATCCTCACCACTCAACATTTTCGACACTTTTGTTGTGTTGTGTTGAGAATGTTGTGTTGTTCATGCTTGCTGTATTCTGATGTTGTAATATGTTTTGCTTGTTCTTCCACTTCCCAACTATGTATCCTACCCTTGTTTTTTGCGCCTTTCTGTATTTTGTTTAAATTGTGTTGGGCTATTCCGTTGTGGGGCTTTGGCGCCCTTTTTTATTGTATTTCTCATCTGTTTTATTAATAAAAAGGAAAAAATAACCTCTCTCCTCCAAATTTCCTGTTATTTTTATTAATAACTGTGAGAATGTTAAACAAAAGGTTACTTTTGCCATGATTGTTGATGTGTGATTCTACTTTAGTAGTAGCTGGAGAATGTTTAATATTACGCTTCACAAAATAAAGAGCTTGTATATGTGCTATTCGTTGTAAGTTATAGTTGCAAAGCATTTTCTTTCAAGTCTTGGTTGTCTGTGTGACAGGTGGTGGCTGCCAGCAACAGCGAGTTGGAACGTCTGGAAGTGCTGTTGGAGAAGCTAAGGACGCTCTACTCCTGGAACCCTCTTGTCTCAGTCCCTCCAGTCCACTTCCTTGGGTCAGTCTCGCGCACACACACTCTCAACACCCACTGGCTCAGAGTGGGTGTTGACTCTAACTTCCATATTCCACCCCATTCTTTCTTCGTTATATTGTACAGTTTTCCTTAAGGTGTCATTTTCTTGCCCTATGCCGTCATTATCGCAGTTCACCCTTGGACTCTGGGTAATTTTACGACGACTGAGTAGCAGCGGTGTGTACATGAGCACTACTAGCAAGTGTTCGGTAGCTTGTGATGTGGCGCCCCTGTACCCGCGCTGCCATTGGTTGTCTAGGTATGATGGGAGACAATGTTTTCTTGTGTAGGTATATCGGTTGGTAGTCTGGGTCCAGTTCTCCCACTGATAACTAATGTGTACAGAGCGATGCTGTGGCTGTCGTAATGGTGTGCACACAAAGTTTCGTTGTATGGAATAAATAATTAATATTGAAATGATAAGACCTATAGTCGCCTGACGCAGCTGTCTGTGACTGCCTTGCACCACGTATGTCAGTTGGTCATAACATCTAATGTAATTGAAGATACCATTAATAATAGTTAACTTAGTGATATTATTTTAATAATTAATTTGACATATTAAAGCCCACATGACTAGTAACTCGCTGTCTGCGTAACTCTTAGCATCTTCCCCTTGATGTTATACAGGTGAGACTCCTTTATGGAAGTTGTGTGGAAGGTGTTGATCAAGGTACATCACCACTCCTCTATACATTTATTAATGTTCACTAATTACAAAATAATTACTGTTCATGGTAATGTTAATAAGGATCATGTGTATGTATGTGACAGTATTTGTATGTATGTGTGTATATGTATGTGTATATGTATGTATGTCTGAATGTCTGAGGTGGAAGGCTAGCTAACACTTATCGGTAGCCTCGCCTAACTTTCACCCATGAAGGATGTTGGGTAAGGAAGTACCATAGTCTAGTCGGGGTCGCCCAAGTGAAAAGCTTTACCAAATATTGGCAGTTATGGATACCCTCCAATACTATTTGTAGAGTCAATATTGAAATATTGGTTGTGTTCCCATAGAGGTTTTAGCAGTTTTAGCGCTTCGTATCACTGTAATAAATTTTCTGAGGGGAGGATAAGAGGGGAAGCATGAAAGAGGGAAGACGAAGAGGAGAAACTAAAGGCCAAGAAAAAATAAACAGTGATTTTATTTTGTTAACAGTTCGGACGAGGTGCTGAGCATTGTGGATACAACTGAGGAAGTATTCACCCTTTTAAGTCGCCTTGTACAGGTGAGTCTAGTCCAGGTGAGTCTGGCCCAGGTGTGTCTGGCCCAGGTGAGTCTGGCCCATGTGAGTGGTACAGATGAGAATGGTTCAGATGAGACTGGTTCAAGTGAGTTTGGTCCAAGTGAGTAATCTATATGAGTCTGGTTTTGGTGAGTCTAGTTAAGGTGAATATGACCCGAGATGAGAGTTTAAACAAAAATATCAGTGTATTGTAGTAACATAAGAGTTGTGGTGATCCCGGTGATGACTCTAGTGAGATAGTGGAGACCTCAGTGGTGACTGGTGTGGTCGTGATGACTTCGGTGGTGTGGTGGTGGTGATCCTTATTCAATTTCCCCCAGTCTTTGAGGATTTCAACCTTTTAGCATTAGTTTTCGAAGACAGTGAAGGGATTCTAATTCAGTTTCTGCACATTTCTCATCACTTTTCATTGTCTTGATTCTATACTTTTATTCTTGATGACAGTCCACTTCTCGTTTTGCGTTCTCCTTCGTTTCCAGATTTTGGAGTTTTACCTTTTCTTCCGTGAGAACTTACACTCGCTTCTTCACCAAACCAGATCTGCCTTTAACTCCAGGCAAAGTTTTTCGAGGTTTCCTAAACGAGACATTGACACAATAAAAGTAACACCAGGTAGCTTAGATAGCACACAGGGACCGGTAGCTGACTAGACAGTACGCTAGATGCGTGATCCTGTGGTCCTGTGTGTGGATTACCGGCGCCGGCGAGAAACAATGGGCGGAGTTTGTTTTGCCCTGATGCTCCTGTTACCTAGCAGTAAAAATATGTACCTGGGGAGGTAGTCAGCTGTCACGGGCTGCTTCCTGGTGTGTGTGTGTGTGAGTGTGGTGTGGAGGAAAAAAAGTAGTGGTAGTTAGTAACAGTTGAGAGCAGAGCTCAACCCCCGCAAGCACAACTAGGTGAATGCAACTAGATGAATACAGTCACAAACGTCTGCATTTGACGATCAGCCTCACCTCACTATGTAGGTCCGTGCAGGGATCTTGGTGAGGTTGATCCTCATGTTGTGGAGATTACAACAATTCCTCTATCATCAACAGATCAGGCAAGGACGTGACGATGCCGGGGGAACCGCTGACAATGGAGATGCTGTCCACTCCAACACGGTCTTGCAGGTGAGTCCTGCTGGAGAGCCCTACGCCAAGAGCGGCCCTCAGATCAGAGGCTAATTCGAATTTTAGTTTGAAAAATTTTGAGGTAATAAATTCCCATCTTTATTCCCACCATTGCAACGTAAGGGATGAGAGGCTTGTACCAGATAATGGAGGGTTGTGGGATCACCACATCTCTAGAAGAGATGTTTTGAACGAACACAAAGGTGAACACAAACTTCATAAACACAAAGGACCCAAAGCTTTATATTAGCCTTCAGCATGAAGAATTCCTGGAAGAATCCTAACGTTATTTTCGTTGAAACATAACTAGCACCTACAAAGGTGACAGGGAAGCCGACACATCATTGACAACGTGACTAATGGGCCTATTTGACGGACTTTGAGCTGCAAGCACCAACTGTTTAGCTGATTAGACATGGCAGTGGTCCCCTGAACCACCAAAACGTGATCACTGTGAGTGTATAAGCAATGAGAATCCACTTTAATGCTAATGCATAATTCTGGCAGATTTTTTTCCTTTATGTAATGAAACTGTGTCATAATGTGTGAGACACACATGGCTAAGGTGTGTCCATCACACAGGTGCGGGAGCTGCTGGAGTACTGGCTTAGGGTCATCCGTGCCGGCCCTGGTCCCCCTGGCGAGCCCCAGGAACCCTGCGTCAGGTGCGTCTCCAGTCTACTTCAGTACGCCACTAAATGTTATGACTCTTGATGACATAAACACTGGTATCTTGTGCATTGTTTAAGGGGAAAGCGAGAGTGTTTGTATTATTTTTTGCTTACAAATTGAGGTAGTGATGATATGTACAAAAGTAACTGGTTGTATGAATCATACTACAGGTCTGGGAGTGTGGCGGCCACTCCTGGAAAGCCCCGCGTTGGACAACCACCAGCGGACGGAGGGCAACCCGGAACAGGTCTGACACCACCTCCCGTCACTGCACACATCTCCCTTAGGTCAGCCAATTGGTTTTTTGTTTTCCTTCGTTATTATATCCACCATTAAATGGACCATTTTCTGTTGCATAATGTACACCATTATTTTATTAGAGCGGATCCAAGATTTGGTTAGGTTTGTAATTAGGAAGGTTTACTTAAAAATTATAGTTCATTAATTACATAAGTCACATTAACAGCATAGTATGTAGACATTGTCATTGTCAGAAACTTTATTCGTAGCAACTTATACAAATCATTGCAATACTAACTGGACTAAATAGGTGTATTGCAATCCAAATCACACTTAATTTGTGATGTGCTAGTGACAACCATCACACACATACTTAGTGTGTGATGGTTGAATGTGCTCATTAAACAAGCAACAAGTTAGTTTCCGGGACTTTTGATGAGTAGCGTAAATTGAGACGTAGACCGTCCGTGGCACCTGAGCAGGTGAGCCAGTTGTGGCCCCCTGCCCAGGTATCGCACCGGTTCTAGTCTCAAGGGGTGTGGGAGGCCCGTCCGCGCGGCCGTGCGTAGTCTCCCGGGACGTTCAGGTTGCCAGTGACGAAAGGGAGATGTGAGGATAGGGGGAGTATGTGTAGCAGGTGTGCAGCAGTTGTGTAGCATGTGTGTGCAGTGTGTGTATGTTTAAGTGTAAGTTGAAAGCGTATGTAACGAGAGCGTAGAGTTATACAGGTGTTAAGCATAGGCCTCTAGATCTGACCATAGGTCTTCTAGAGTTAAGCATGGTAGGGTAGGAGATCTAAGCATGGGGCACACGCCCTTCTGACTCTTAGGCTTACCGTGGGATTAAGAGGGAGTAGAGCAGCCGCACACGTAACTAAACGCGTTGTGCGCACCTAGTTGTACTTACCCTGTGCCAACAGTTGTCCACGATCCATCACTCAGCTTCGGGTGGGGTGTGACTGAAGTAAATGAATGGGAAGGAGGCGGGAGGGGGTGTGGAAGGTAGGGGCTCCTACATGAGAATGTGCGGTGTGCCCACCTAGTTGTACTCACTTACTTGCACTTGCCTAGTTGTACTCACCCAGGGGGCAGCAGCAGGTAGGGGTTTCCACTATTGAATGAATATATGTAATTTTAGATCAAATCCATGAGCTTCATCATACCCTCACCACACCCCACCACACCCCACTCCACCTCCCTCCTCACTCCATAATGCTATGAGATTAACGGATAGGCTGTTCCTTGGCCTACTTCGGGTAGGCTGCTCTACGGGAACTTTCAGTTATGTTATTCAAGGAGTTATATATCTGAATGATTTGTCTATAGAAAAACTTTACTTTTTCCACTAAAGAGAGTTAGGAGAAGTGTCTGGTAGTGTAATATATGGAAACATAGATAGATAAATATTAAGGTGAAGTTGTTATACTCACAACATCACCAGACGGTATCTTCAGGAGGAGTGCTCATCCTGCGGCAGGCCCTCCTCCAGGCAGCGAGCTCATCATTACAACCGCAACAGTCAAAGAAGCGGCCTACACTGGCCCGTTTATGGGGACGTTCCTCTCCATTACCCCGCCACATCCGCTCCCAACCCCTGCTCCATGCTCCTCCCCATCATTCACCTGCTATCTCATCCACTACCTGTCAATTTCTTAAGTCAACGCCTCCCCATAGCTTCATCTGTGTGTCTGTATTTTTCCTTGGGAAATTTAGAAACATTTCAAATATATATATATATATATATATATATATATATATATATATATATATATATATATATATATATGTCATACCTAGTAGCCAGAACGCACTTCTCAGCCTACTATGCAAGGCCCGATTTGCATAATAAGCCAAGTTTTCCTGAATTAATATATTTCCTCTAATTTTTTCTTATGAAATGATAAAGCTACACATTTCATTATGTATGAGGTCAATTTTTTTTTATTAGAGTTAAAATTAACGTAGATATATGACCAAACATAACCAACCCTACCTAACCTAACCTAACCTATCTTTATAGGTTAGGTTAGGTTAGGTTAGGTAGCCGAAAAAGTTAGGTTAGGTTAGGTTAGGTAGGTTAGGTAGTCGAAAAGCAATTAATTCATGAAAACTTGGCTTATTAGGCAAATCAGGCTTTGCATAGTAGGCTGAGAAGTGCGTTCTGGCTACTAGGTACGACATATATATATATATATATATATATATATATATATATATATATATATATATATATATATATATATATATATATATATATATATATATATATATATATATATATATATATATATATATATGTGTGTGTGTATATATATATATATATTGCTGGTGTTGACTTTTTGATGTGTAGTGCCTCGCAGATGTCGAGACGCCTACTATCGATGTATCTATCGATGATTTCTGTGTTGTTTATTAAGATTTCTCTGGTGATGGTCTGGTTGTGAGAGGAGATTATATGTTCCTTTATAGTGTCCTTTATACTATATAGTAGTATAGTATAGTGAGTTTAGATATCCTCACCCTGTGACTGGGTTTGGATATCCTCACCCTGTGACTGGGTTTGGATATCCTCACCCTGTGACTGGGTTTGGATATCCTCACCCTGTGGCTGGGTTTGGATATCCTCACCCTGTGGCTGGGTTTGGATATCCTCACCCTGTGGCTGGGTTTGGATATCCTCACCCTGTGGCTGGGTTTGGATATCCTCACCCTGTGGCTGGGTTTGGATATCCTCACCCTGTGACTGGGTTTGGATATAATCCTGGGTAAGAATATAATCTTCACCCTGCGTGACTGGGTCAGACTCCCCTCAACCCTCTCTGTTCTGTTCGTCAGCTGTGAGGGAGACACAAGTGAGGAAGGTGAAGAAGGTGACAGCCTGGCCGCCCTGCAGTCTCAGGTGAACTCGCCTCTCTCACCTGTACACCGCCTTAATTAACATACGCACGCGATGAGTCACAATAACGTGGCTGAAGTATGTTGACCAGACCACACACTAGAAGTTGAAGAGAATCGACTTGAGAATGGTCCAGGACGGACCGAAACGTCGTCGTCCCTTCAACTTCTAGTGTGTGGTCTGGTCAACAGCATACGCACCTCCTTAATTAATATTTATTATTATTATTATTTATTATTATTATTATTCCTGAGAGAATCCACTGGGGCTGTGAGGTAACGCGAATCGAACCCGCGACCAAGGCCTGGCCAGCCGCATACTCCACCTCCACCACTGACTTGTTAAAAAGCCATACAACCGGAGGATTTCTACTGAAATCACAGGAAGTCTGGACAGTATGGTGTTGAACTACTTTGCCTGCACCAGAGTGCTTGCGGGTCATGTGTAAAACTGGGATTGACTTCAGTAGGGGCCTCCAGACCTCTTGTGGTTTCAGTAGAAATCTGGTTGTATGACTTTTGACTAGGTCCCTGGTGGTACAGTGGTAGAGTATGTAGGTGGTAATGCCTTGGTGGCAGGTTTGCTGCACGTCACCTCTGAGGCCCACTGGATTTTCTCATTGATATATATCACGTTAGTGGGATTTTCTGTGTATATTATTATTATTATTATTATTATGTAATAGTTATTATAATTATCATTGTTATTACTATCATTATTATTATTGATATAATTAGCATTGCTAATATAATTATTAGCATTATTATTATTGCGCAATTAAATCTCATTAACGTAATGTATCAATGAGAAAGTCAGTTAAGAGCCAGAGGAGGATTTGAACTCCTCTGTGAATCCCATTTGAATGTGTGCTTGTGAGTTCCCTGCATTCTGTCACTGACGAGCACTCGCCTTAAATCACAGGACCACTTTACACTGTAAGCGAATCGTGACAGGGAAAACAAATCCCTTAATCTTCTGTAACTATTGGAGCTACTAATAGATTTCCCCCACTCTGTTCTCTCATTATGGTACTCGCTAATCTATCCCTATTTTACTGCAACTTACTACTTCATCCACTGCAAATTACCTCAAGCCCATCATCACCCAGCAAAAATCATTTATCAGAACAATAACAACGTCAATCTTCAGGCAACACACAGCCCCTCTGTTTAAATCCATAAACATGCTAAACCTACACCCACTCCACACATTCTCTTGTGCTCTTTTATATATAAAAAACATTGTTCTTAAATGCTAATCCTGATCTGAAACTCTTCCTTGACAGATGTAATGGAACCCATGAGCACCACACCAGAAATAAATATCTCTTTGATATCCCCGGAGTCAAACTAAATCTGTGCAAGCATTCCATGCAAATAAAGAGGCCTAGTCTAAGGAACTCACTCTCTAACAAATTAACATTTGTCCAGCTTACCTGTCCACTCCCCCTCAATATTAGTACTTAAGACATGCAACTTCACCAGTGTAATCATTGCCATCAATTTATATCGTTGTTATTATGTTGAACTCAAATTTTGCTACAGTGTACCCAATAATAATCCTACCTTATCTGTTAGATTAAGGACCTACCCGAAACGCTATGCGTGTTAGTGGTTCTGCAAGAATGTAAGAACACCAATGATATATACTCTCACAACACCCAATGTACCTTCTTGTATGTAAATAAATAAATAAATAAATATAAGACAAGTAATGTAACGTGGTGTATCCACAAGGATACAGTATATTACAAGGAGTCCTGAAGCGTCGAGCTACTATCACTACTATCACTAGTACTCCTAATATTAGTCATTACTATTATTACTACTGATTTTATTGCTAGTACTACCTTCTACTATTGCTAATACTACTAGTACCACTTCCAAAACTATGCTACTGCTATTGCTAATACTGGTACTACTACTACTACTACTATTCTATTATTGCTGCTTGTATTACCATTAATACTACTACCAATTACAATATTATTTGTATTATTAATACAGCTAATACTACTACTACTACTACTAACATTAATGTTATTGTTTATGCTGCACCTGCTGGTGGTGGGGTCTGCTGCTGCTGCTGCTGCTGCTGCTGCTGCTGCTGCTGCTGTTCCTGCTGCTGGTGGTGGTGGTGGTGGTGCTGCTGGTGGTGGTGGTGGTCGTCGTCGTCGTCGTCTCCAGGTGCGGGAGGTGGTGGCTCGACTGGGGTCAACAGGACGGGGCGGGGGGGTGGACACGACTTCCGAGGCCCACCTGGATATGGGTCGTGACCTCAAGTGGAGACGCTTGGCCCTCGCCCGTCTCCAGCAGTATCGCGCCACCGAACTCGCCAGGTCAGCCCAGGTGTGTGACCAGATCATCACAGGTGTGTGACCAGATCAGCCCAGGTGTGTGACCAGATCATCACAGGTGTGTGACCAGATCATCACAGGTGTGTGTGAATACCAAGGGCTGATTTACCGAGAGGGATACTATGAGGAGGTGAGAAAATTCTTAACAGAAATACCATAGGAAACAGAACTCAGAGTAAAGTCTGTACAAGACATGATGGATTACGTCATACAAACCTCTCAGGAGGCGGCAAAAATGTTTATCCTGATGAAAAGGACAAAATGAAAAGCAAATTCCAGATGTCCAAACCAGGAATCTTTGGCAGGGTTCGAATTTCTCAGAGGTAAAATTTAGAGGTATCTGTTGGATCTGGACATGAGAAAAGGCTGTTGAACCTCACGGAATATCTCCATGGATACTAAAAGAGTGTGCAGAAGCACTTTGCTTGCCACCCTCCATGGTGTATAATAAATAATTGGAAACAGGAGACCTAAGAAATATGGAAGACAGCTAATGTAGTCCCAATATACAAAAGTGTGACAGGCAAGAGTCATTGAATTACAGGCCTCTTGCTTGTATATACAAGTCCCTAACTTGTATACCATGCAAGGGAATGGAGAAGATCGTGAGAAAAATTAGTAGCACATTTGTAAACATGGAACTTCGTGACACCACCAGCATGGGTTCAGGGATGGCAAACCTTGCCTCACAGGTGCAATAGAAGTCTACGTGCAGGTGACAAAGATTAAGCAAGAAGGGTGGGCGGACAGCATTTTCTTGGATTGTCAGAAAGCCTTTGACATATAAGCCCCCCATAAGAGGCTAGTGCATAAGTTGGAGAAACAGGCAAGAGTAACAGGTCAGGTGCACCAGTTTATAAGAAAGTACCTAAGCAAAAAGAAGCAGAGTATCTGTGAGGTGTGAGACTCCAGAATGGCTAGATGTCACCAGCGGAGTCCTGCAGGGTTCTGTACTTGGACCTATTCTGTTTGTATATTGGACCTATTCTGTTTGTATATACTTGTTGTATATTCCTAATATACATAAATGATCTCCCAGGGGGGGGGGTACGGACTCATTACTCTCAATTCTTGCTGACGATGCTAAAATTATGAGAAGGATTAAGAGAGGAAAACAGCACGAGGGTACAAGATGACTTGCGCAAATTGAAGCAATAGTCCAACAAATGGCTGTTAGAGTTTAATCCGAGCAAGTGTAAAGTAATTAAGATAGGTGTAGGGAGCAGAAGACTAGATACAATGTTCCATTTTGGAGATGAAATCCTTCAAGAATCAGAGAGAGAGAAAGATCTGTGGGTTGATATCACGTTGGACCTGTCTCCTGAAGCCCAATCTCAAGAAGACATCATCAGCAGCATATGCTAGGTTGGCATATGCTGAATTACCTTTAGAAACTTGTAAGGAATAATTTTGAACCTTGTATACCACATATGTCAGACCAATCCTGGCGTATGCAGCATCAGCGTGGAGTCTGCATCTAATTAAGCACAAGACTAGATTGGAGAAGATTCAAAGGTATGCCACTAGGTTAGTACCCGAGCTAAGGGGTACTAGAACTAAATCTCACGTCACTGGAAGACAGAAGAGTTAGAGGAGACATGATCACCACATACAAGATTCTCAGAGGAGAATGGAGTAAATAAAGACAGATTATTTAACACAGGTGTACACACACAAGGAGGCGCAGGTGGAAACTGAGTACCCAAATGAGCCACAGAGACATTAGAAAGATTGCTTTTCAGTGTCAGTGTAGTTAACAAATGGAATCCATTAGGCAGTGATGAGGTGGAGGCTGACTCCATACACAGATTCACATATTCAGATATTCAGGTCAGATAAGAGACCAGGTCAGATAAGATACGATGCCAGGTAAGAGAGGAGGTCCGGTAAATCATCAGGTCAGGTAAGAGACCTGGTCATAATAAACCAGGTCAAGACACCAGAGAGAAACGTTACCAGTCAGACAAGGTGCTAGAGGGGCTAGCTAACACCTCTGACTTGCGAGCTGCACGGAACACACTTTTATGACAACATTTACTGATTGTGCGTGCAGGCAGTCTGGGGGTCTGATGGCAGGGGGTGGACTGGTGGTAGCGTGTATTCTGGTAGTATGGTGGTAGTGTGTATTCTGGTGGTAGTCGGGGTCTGGTGGTAGTAGGTGGTCTTGTGGTAGGAGGTAGTAAGGGTGGGCTGGTGGTAAGGGTAATTGATGTGTGAATAAAGCTAGTTAAGTCGTGGCTTGTGTTTGCAGCTGACGGCGTACAAGACGGAGCACGCCATTCCCCTGCAGGAGGAGGGCGAGGCAGAGCCCGGCGAGGACGAGCGAGGCCTGGAGATCGAGGACGAGATCACAGTGCCACCTCCGAGCGTCAGCGTGGACCAAGTGGAGACTCGCCTCTGGCGCCTCCTGGGCAAGGTGAGTGCGTCCTGAGCAAGATGAGTGCCTCCTAGGCAAAATTAGTGCGTCCTGAGCAAGATGAGTGCCTACTAGGCAAAGTGAGTGCGTCCTGAGCAAGATGAGTGCCTACTAGGTAAGGTGAGTGCGTCCTGAGCAAGATGAGTGCCTACTAGGCAAAGTGAGTGCGTCTTGAGCAAGATGAGTGCCTGCTGATCATGTTGAGAGGCTCTTGGGTAAAGTGAGTACATTTACCGAAAGTTTAAAAACTTTTTAAGAACTAAAAAAATTTAAGAGCATGGAGTTATAGTCTCCATGGTGCGCATCTTTGTGTGTTTGTTGGTGTTATCCCCGTCTTGCCCTACCTGTATGCCTCATGACACTGTGTTTGTTGGTGTTACCCCCGTCTTGCCCTACCTGTATGTCTCGTGACACTGTGTTTGTTGGTGTTATCCCCTCTTGCCCTACCTGTATGTCTCGTGACACTGTGTTTGTTGGTGTTGTCCCCTCTTGCCCTGCCTGTATGTCTCGCGTCACTGTGTTTGTTGGTGTTATTCCCTCTTGCCCTGCCTGTATGTCTCGTGACACTGTGTTTGTTGGTGTTATTCCCTCTTGCCCTGCCTGTATGTCTCGCGTCACTGTGTTTGTTGGTGTTATTCCCTCTTGCCCTGCCTGTATGTCTCGTGACACTGTGTTTGTTGGTGTTATCCCCTCTTGCCCTGCCTGTATGTCTCGCGTCACTGTGTTTGTTGGTGTTATTCCCTCTTGCCCTGCCTGTATGTCTCGTGACACTGTGACTACGTGTATGATGAAGTTAGCTACTCTTCTGTCACGTAAGTTAGTTTACTATTGTGTTCCAATGTATTTCATAGCTTACCGTAGTGTGCTGTAGTTCACCGTGTAGCACTTTGGTGTGCCACAGTGTTCTGGGCTCACTGTCACGCGGTGCACTGTATTGTGATGTTGCTGCAGGTGGAGCTGCAGGGGAGGAAGGTGAGGGTGAAGGTTCAGGAGGCCGCCGCCACCCAGGAGCGCCTGCTACACCAAGTGAACCAGTACCGTGCTGAGTGGGCCCATCCTCCTCTCACCCTTACCCACCTGCCTCACCATCTGAATGTCCAGGTGAGTCACCTGGGTCACCTTCCCGCACCATCAGCTGGGTCACCTTCCTGCACCATCATCTGGGTCACCTTCCTGCACCATCATCTGGGTCACCTTCCTGCACCATCAGCTGGGTCACCTTCCTGCACCATCAGCTGGGTCACCTTCCTGCACCATCAGCTGGGTCACCTTCCTGCACCATCATCAGGGTCACCTTCCTGCACCATCAACTGGGTCACCTTCCTGCACCATCATCAGGGTCACCTTCCTGCACCATCATCTGGGTCACCTTCCTGCACCATCATCTGGGTCACCTTCCTGCACCATCAGCTGGGTCACCTTCCTGCACCATCAGCTGGGTCACCTTCCTGCACCATCAGCTGGGCCACCTTCCCGCACCATCACCTGGGCCACCTTCCTGCACCATCAGCTGGGCCACCTTCCCGCACCATCACCTGGGCCACCTTCCTGCACCATCAGCTGGGTCACCTTCCTGCACCATCAACTGGGTCACCTTCCTGCACCATCATCAGGGTCACCTTCCTGTACCATCATCAGGGTCACCTTCCTGTACCATCAGCTGGGTCACCTTCCTGCACCATCAGCTGGGCCACTTACCCACACTATCAGTCACCTGCCTGCATGACCAGGTGAATCACCCACTTGTGCAAGGTAACTAAATCACCTGGCAGACCAATTGTAATATTGATATTGAATTACTATGTAAAGTTTTGTTCTAAATCTTACCAAGAAAAAACTGTGTGTTGTTTTAGTGATCAAGTTAATGAAGATTCAAATGTTGGTAACAAACCTGACTTATGTGACCAGGTAACTTAAGACTGATCATATATGATTGTAATACTGTATAATGTATCATGCTGTATGCATGCTGTTGTACTGTAGTCTACTGCATCGAGGTCATAGCAGTATCAAGCCGTACAGTTTTTACTCCATAACTATTTGATAGAGCTGTAAAATATTTTCTCCCAAATTAAACTAAGCACTTTTAAATGCAAGACTTAGAACTTGAAATCACTTGCCAAAACTCCGCTTAAAGGATAAGCCTTTACCAGGTGTCTGACGAACTCGTGAATGAATTTTACTGCGATTCCCTCGACCTGGAGGAGTCTGGAGAAGTGGAGAGTCCTACGATGGGAGTAAGGCGAGGAGGTGGTGGTAGCAGCAGCAGGAGAGCCACCACCACCTGCAGCAGCAGGAGGGCCACCACCAGCAGTAGGAGAGCCACCACAAGCAGCAGCAGGAGGGCCAGAACTTCCTCAGAAGGCGGCATCCCCACCAGCAGGAAGCTTGCCAAGGACAGCGAAGGAGTGAGTGCTTATTACTAATCATTTCTGAGCAGAACTGTGGCTAAATTGTATGCATTATTGTTTTATGATTTCATTAATAACAGGTAGGTTATAAAATACTTTTTATGTTGTAACTATGCTATAAGATTTATCGCTATTAACTTGAAGGCTGTTGACCTAACTGTGGCACACTGCAAACGACAAAAACGAGTTTACATTTGGTCAGGTCTACATCAGCAGATAATGAGAATTCCCAGAGATACCTGTAACCGAGTCTAAGCCGAGCAGTAGTAACATCTAGAAGTCTGCTGATTTTATTGGATGATCCATAGATGTGTGGCTCCTCTTACATGATAGTATGATGATAGATGGAATTACTGGTGTCGATTTCACTTTGCCTCAGATCTACAAGATCTTGTTGAAGTTCCTGGTGTACTGCTGCTCTCAGATTGCTCATTGACAATCTAAGCTTACACTCAACATCTCCTTTAAAGGCAGATTATTTGGCTAACTCATCAGCTCCATCATGCATTCGGAGACCAACAAACGCATTAGTTCACAGATATGTCACATGTTTAACACGAGTACATATCAGACTGGTTATGAGATGGAGCCAATAGAGCCCAGGCCAAGGCTAGGATGCAACTGCTCTTACACAGTAAGGAAGCGACACAAAGATACTTGCATGGAGAGCCCAGCCGCGTGTACCATAGCTGTCATGACGACACTGTTGTTGATGGTGTTACAGACGGACGTCCCGCCTCTAAGTCTGTGTGGATCACCCCGGGTCGTGAAGACCGGCAAGACACCACGAGTCTCCGCCACAACCCACACCTCTACCACTCCACAAGCCACCAAGACCCAGCGGAGTGGTGGTCGTGGGCGGCGTAGCGTGCGGGAGACGCCGAAGCCGCCCCCAGCGCCTCGCCCTTCCCTCACCCTCAGCCAGGTGCAGCAGATCCAGCGGGCCCGCACCACTCACCTCACCTTGCTCTCCCAGGTACTTCTCCAAGGCAAATTGTCAGTCATACCGATTATGGGCTCACTATAGCCCGTGCTGTTTATTTCGAGTTGTATGTGCTGGGCATGCAGATGGTGGTAATTATGGGTTCTTGGCAGGTTCCTGAGCCACTGCAGGAGGCGGCACAGGAGGTAGAGGAAGCCCTTAGGAAGTGTGAAGGAGAAGTGGTAGGCGAGCGCGGGCGGCTGGCGTGGGCAGTGCTGAGGGCGGGACAACTGGTCCGAGAAATAGGCGTCAGAGTGAGATACAGGGACTCTGAGAAGAAGCTCCGGGTGGCACTGAAAGAGAAGATCCAGGAGCAGCAGATGGTGAAGGATAAGGTAAGCAGCAGCTGGTGAAGGATAAGGTAAGCAGCAGCTGGTGAAGGATAAGGTAAGCAGCAGCTGGTGAAGGATAAGGTAAGCAGCAGCTGGTGAAGGATAATATAAGCAGCAGCTGGTGAAGGATAATATAAGCAACAGCTGGTGAAGGATAAGGTAAGCAGCAGCTGGTGAAGGATAAGGTAAGCAGCAGCTGGTGAAGGATAAGGTAAGCAGCAGCTGGTGAAGGATAAGGTAAGCAGCAGCTGGTGAAGGATAAGGTAAGCAACAGCTGGTGAAGGATAAGGTAAGCAACAGCTGGTGAAGGATAAGGTAAGCAGCAGCTGGTGAAGGATAAGGTAAGCAGCAGCTGGTGAAGGATAAGGTAAGCAGCAGCTGGTGAAGGATAAGGTAAGCAGCAGCTGGTGAAGGATAAGGTAAGCAACAGCTGGTGAAGGATAAGGTAAGTAACAGCTGGTGAAGGATAATATAAGCAGCAGCTGGTGAGGGATAAGGTAAGCAACAGCTGGTGAAGGATAAGGTAAGCAGCAGCTGGTGAAGGATAATATAAGCAGCAGCTGGTGAAGGATAAGGTAAGCAGCAGCTGGTGAAGGATAAGGTAAGCAGCAGCTGGTGAAGGATAAGGTAAGCAGCAGCTGGTGAAGGATAATATAAGCAACAGCTGGTGAAGGATAAGGTAAGCAGCAGCTGGTGAAGGATAATATAAGCAACAGCTGGTGAAGGATAATATAAGTAACAGCTGGTGAAGGATAATATAAGCAGCAGCTGGTGAAGGATAAGGTAAGCAGCAGCTGGTGAAGGATAAGGTAAGCAGCAGCTGGTGAAGGATAAGGTAAGCAGCAGCTGGCAAAGGATAATATAAGCAACAGATCAAAATTTCAAATTTCAAATTTCTGGATCAAAATTTTTATTTTTATTTCTGTTCATCTGTCTCTGTATATTTTCACCTGATTCTCGTGGCTTCCTCCGCCAGGTGCTGGCTATTCGTCAGAGGATTGAGGAGTACGAGCGTGAGCAGGAGTGTCTGGTTGAGCTCGAGGAGGAGGTGGACCGCGCCTTCGCCAACCTTGTTACTGATAACGCCCAGTTTGAGGTCCAGCTCACCCGCTACTTTGAGTCTTGTCCTACACCTGGCCTTGCTTGTCCTGATTCAGGTACGTTACAGGTCAGGTTGATATCACACAATGAATATGCAATGGAGTAGACAACCTGTCCTTTTATAAATTACGTCTGAATTTGGCCGTTTACCCTAAGTCCGAAAATGGACGTAATTTGAAAATATATTTGGGATTTTTTCCCAAAATAGTAAGTTAAGGGTCCTCTGGTAAGTTAGGAGGGCAGGAAATTCTCCTAAAGTTTCAAAACGTCATGAAAACGTTAATTGAAATTTTCCTCTCCTAACCTTTCCGAGTAAACCGGAGGACTCAAACAGAAAACAAGAGAGTACATCACTTTCGTGAGCCGATTTCATTTCAAATTACGTCCATTTTTGGCCATAGCGCGCATATGAGCGAAAAGCGACGTTATTTTTAAGAGGACGGGTTGACTTATGAACATATACGCAAAGGCCTGCATATACGAGGCGACTCTTATATATAATTATCCAAATTCATTCATATATGTCTAACCTTCTCTTAAAAAAATCAGCGATCCCACGTCATTATGTTACCCAGTAATTTGTTACATAACAATAACAAATCCTGTTTTCAAACTTAGGTCTTTCTTGAGTCAAATTTATGTCCATTGTTTCGAGTTGTATAGACACGCGGTCATATCCTGGCACCAATATTTTGTCTTGACTGTGTGGTGGTCAGCCTCGAGCAGCGGGGAGAGCGAGGGAGGCGAGGGTGGTGGCGACGACGACACAGGCGACGACGATGACTCCGGCCTGGGCACGGACGAGGCCAGGACCGAGGGCTCCGTAGGACCCCGACCACCGGGCTGCGACCCGGCGGTCTTCTCCTTCCTCACTGTCCTCAGGGAACTCCGGTATATACGCCTATCTTCCTGTATCAAACATTACTTCTACTACCACTAATGAAAGTTATAATAATAACGTTATTTGTAATTTCAATAAAAAAAAGTACGTCAGTAGACCACAAAGAGTATACACACATAGAGGTATTTCCCGCTTCTCGGTGTACAGTAGGAACATTAAGAGTTTACTGTAGTCCTGGACTGTGTTCAAGACTTGCTGGTTGATCAGTAAGTTATTGTGGAGGCCTTAATAATCCTCCAGAGGTGGATTAAACCTTATACCAAACATTAGACCAAATTTGAATGTACTTCAAGTTTGCAAGCTAGAACTGCACTTTTTCTGTAAAGTTATTTGTAGCAATGCGGGGATTGCAGACTTTTATTTAATACTTTTGTATGTTCTTAAGCCATTCATTTGCAAGACTTTTTTTTAAATGATGGGACAGTATGTTTCGGGTTTCAGCTGTTGACAAAATGCGTTCCATAATTGTGCGTGTTTCAGATGGTAGGAGGAAAGGGAGGGAATTATCAGGAGGGAAAGCGACAAGCCATTACGACAATATAGCACTGGGAAGGGGTCAGGATAAGGATTTGGGATGGGACGGGCGGAAAGGAATGGTGCCCAACCACTTGGACGGTCGGGGATTGAATGCTGACCTGCATGAAGCGAGACCGTCGCTCTACCGTTCAGCCCAAGTGGTTGGGCTCAGATGGTAGGAGCGTCTTCGGAACTGTTCTGCCTGGGAGTATAGATTATGCACAATTATATCATGTTAATATGGATGATTACGGAGTTTTATTTTAAAATATTCACATTTATTTGTTAACTGGAGTAGAGTTACTAGAATATGGGGGCCAGTTGCGTAGAGTTACGATAGTATGTGGTTAAGGTAGACACATCAACTATTGGTAAAGTGTGTCTGGATGAATGAAGGGGGACAAGTATAAACAACAGCTGACACAAAGATACAATTATTATTATATTTTGGCCGTGTTGTGTTGCCAACCTTCTACTGGACTTTTACAGTGTCAACTAAACATAGTATACACTAGTATGGTTGCATGGTGGAAGCCATATTCTATGATAGACTTAAAGGCTGGAAGCCGAACTCTATGATAAGCTTGGAGGCCGGCAGTTGAAATCTATGATTTTGTAATCAACTAATAAATTCAGACAATACATATAAATGGAAGATAAAAACAGATATTTTTTCCATCAACTGTTGAGCGGGTAGCTAAATTAAGATAAGATTAGCAGGATATCTTGGACGTTTGTTGTCATTGTTTTAGATTTATCTACTCAGAACGAAATGTCCATGTAGCACGGGCTATAGTGAGCCCATAATTGAATTCGGTTATTAGCGATAACCTTGTTACCGTGATATTTGGGTCAGTTTTTAAATGGAGGTGGGGTTTCCTCCTTTTCCCCCTGTTTCTTTTTCGCTTCTGTTTTAGCAAACTGGTTTCAGTCTTGGGATAATAACATTATCTTGGTGGCGAATGTAGATGCAGAATGTTCACTAGTGTGTCCCATTCTTCAACTGCTTTTCTAAAGCAGAGGACAATGTGAAACTAACGTAGTTCATTTGGCTACAAACCTCGGTTAAAGTTGTGTTCTCTTCTGCTAACCTCAGTTAAGTTAGGTTAAATTAGTGTTCCCTGCTGCTAACCTTGGTATAAACCGAAAAGTCATCTTTTCTATTTTTTTCTATTTTTAAGTATTGACTCCATTGGTGGCATTGACAGGTGGCGGGTGGCCGGGGCAGCGGAGAGGAGCCGTCGAGAGCGAGCCCTCGAGGAGCGGCGCCACGCTGCCGTCCTTCGTCGTCTGTTCAGAGCTAATCACGTCGCTCACTCTGCCCTTGCGTCACTCACCGCTCTTCAGGTGGGTGTCAGGGCTCCCTGGCCTTCCTTACAACGCTCACCGCCCAGGTGGGTATAAGAGCTCCCCTGACCATAGGTGGGTGTCAGGGCTCCCTGGCCATCCTTACAACGCTCACCGCCCAGGTGGGTATAAGAGCTCCCCTGACCATAGGTGGGTATCAGGGCTCCCTGGCCATCCTTACAACACTCACCGCCCAGGTGGGTATAAGAGCTTCCCTGACCATAGGTGGGTATCAGGGCTCCCTGGCCTTCCTTACAACGCTCACCACCTAGGTGGGTATAAGAGTTCCCCTGACCATAGCTGAGTATCAGGGCTCACTATCATTATATTAGTAATTGTATTAATATAATAATTATATGTGAATTCAAACTCTGTCATTATATACCTGTCATTACTTTAGTTTTTATTCAAGATTGACTGATTCACCTAATTTTTAATTCAGTCCAAATTATGTGTTTGCCTGAATTTCTGTGTTTGTTTCGAGACCTGCCCGAAACACTATGCGTGTTAGTGACTTTGTAAGGCTATACCACTAATCACCAGTATATGTACTAGATTCTTAAACGGGGGGCATCTATACCCTTTGAGAGGTTTGGGACTCAAATAATAATGGGGGGTGGAGGGGTGGAATTCGATCTTTGAACAATTAAAAAAAAGTTGTTGCTATTGAATGAGACTTAATTGTCACAGTCTCTATTAGATGAGACTTAATTATTTTGTGGTACTGTATTTTACTACTGTAAATATTTTGTGGTACTGTATTTTACTACTGTAAATATTTTGTGGTACTGTATTTTACTACTGTAAATATTTTGTGGTACTGTATTTTACTACTGTAAATATTTTGTGGTACTGTACCATGTTTAGACTGCAAAAAAGAACAAAAGCAAAACTCTCACTAGTTGTAGCTAGCTTGTGAATTTGTGTTTTGCCGCTTTTCTATAAGTAAATGATAAAATCTTTATGATTTTATTTAAACTGTTTTGTTCTTATCTATCCATAAGTAAAATTATATCAAGTTATTGATATCTTTTAAAGTCATAGTGGTACCTAATAGGACTTGTGGTAGTGATTTCAACAGTGTGGCGAGAGGGGAATATTACCATATTGGGTAAGCCATTGGAGGTCTGTAATCGTAAACAAAATAAAAACCCATGCTTTAGACATTATGAAGTGATGATCGCGATATACTTTATATATCCTGTTCACTATCCTGAAAGTTTCCATGAGACCTTCTCTGTTATGGCTTATATGAATAGTTGCCAGTTGTAGATATTCTGAGTTTAACTGTATTTTTTCATAACATTCTGATAAATCTGAAACCCTCTGTGTTATCTATCTTCTGTTGTACTGTAATACCACAAAATAATAATAATCAATTCTTCTAATCGAATAATCATAATGTTGCAAATGTGTGATATAATCGCTGTAGTCTTGATTGATGAAGATTAAGCCACCTAAGAGGTGGCACGGGCATAAATAGCCCGTACGCTGTAGTGTTGAAATATTTGGTATATTACAGAGTGAGCGAGAGAGGGAACTGGGAGCCATACCATCAGTGGTGTGGTTGAGGCGTAGCCAGACTAGTGGAGACCTCACGCCTCTCACCCGCCTCCCGATACCCAACACAGAGGTCAGAGTTTGGGTTTATATCACTTATTATGCACCCCATGTCCACCCTCTGGAAAAAGAGGTTAGAGAGGCGCATGTAATGGGATCAGGAACTGAGCCAGAGGTGTCTGGCTCAGTAATGTAGATGTCAAGAGTCCATCAACTCTTGGTATCTACATTAAAACACATATTAACCATAAAATAATATTAAATAAGCCTATAGTTTTTTATGTTTAATATTTAGTAAGTATACACATGAGCTTGAGACGCTGTATGTAAACTAGTGGCTTTATAAAAAATTAAAACATAACAAATGTTATTCATAAATGGTTGTACAGTTAAAGTTGAGTTAATTTACGCAACATTTCAGCACATTATTTACAAGAAAGATATAATAATAATGCAGTTTTAAAGGCCCATAGTTCATATCTTTCAGATATTATTATTAGCTTCAGAATTGGAAAATGTACAAGATGCTAATCAAAGATAATGCCGTTCTTCATCCTGAACTATCTAAATAGGATGGTACATCTATATTTCCTGCCCGAAACGCTTTGCGTAATAGTGACTCTAGGCATTGTATGTACTAGCTCTGTCTATAAATCGATCAATTTTTTTAAAATCTCTTGTATGTATGTACCTTACCTGAATAAACATTTATTTATTTATTATTTATTTATATAAAATAAATGGTCATTTAGCTTTCTAAATATTTAAATTTTATACTTGTACTAATTCAATAAGTTTAGCTCATTTATTATGGAGCCCGTAGCCATCCTGTCACCCGTGGTGAGTGACTACCGAGACGCAGTAGGCATTGGAACTGAATTCCCATGTTCGTTTAACTGAGTAAGTTACAGCATTGTTAACCAAGTTACATAGTTTGTGAACATATACATTAACAGAAGGTTAGTCAAATCATTTGTTTATAAACGATCCCAATGTATTATAGGCTATGCAATTTACTAATTGGTTTTCGTTTGCCACATATTTATGATAAAGTTACAAAGTTATTGATCTAAATTACTCACTGTAGCTGCTTTACGATACAATGTCATGAGTTAAGCAGTTCGAGACTTGCTCTCAATGTAGGCTTACACACCTGATTTGTGCGCACTTAACAAACTTTCGATACTTTGCTAGTATTTTAGGTAATATTTCAACACGACAATATACATGAACATTTTAATACAGCTTTTAATATACATGATTTTTCATTATATCTGTACCATGCCTTAAACATTATATTAACATGTTAGTTATGGCTTAAGAAGTTGAGAGCAAGCAGGAATGATGTAGAGATACTTACGGTTAACGTGTCAACCTGAAATATATATACTCATAAACAGTAAAATCACAGTAACGTGATATATCTGTGAGAAAATGTGTGTCGCAGGACGGAGGGATCAAACGAACAAATAATGCTATCTGAATGTGACGAATGGATTCCCAGTTATCATACTGATCGATGCTCTTGAAAGCTCTCACTCATTGCATTTCGTTCAAATTTTAGACTTGTATAACTGCACAATCAAATTAAAAAGTGGTTTATCACAGCGGATATTCATATCTACATGAGAGAAATTAAGGCAGGGAAGGCGAGGCTATGCAAATACTACGGGTTGTTGTGGGTTTTGCCTCGGGATTTATTTGCGCAACAGTTTTGACAGTTTTAATGTTGTACCGTTGTTTGTTTAAGTATTTAGTTGTAATCATATACTGGTGTCGGCAACAGGTTGATAGCATGGCGGGTGTCAAGTGGATGAGTGATGGGAGTGGGTCTCAGGCCAAGCTGCTCTCCCTGGACCATCTGCAGCAGCTGGAGCAGCAGGTGGCTCAGGCTAAGGTGGCCCAGGAGCTGGCCGCTCTCAGGCACAGGTTAGTCACTCCTGCACCCTACACACTGTACCACACACCATCATATACCATAGATATTCCTGGCACCTCTGATAATAACGGACAGTTCAGTCATGAAGAGTGCTGTGGTCGGATCTACACTCACTATGCTAAGGTCTATACTCTCACTGCTCAGGTTTACTCTCACTATATAGGGCCCACTCCAAGGGAGAGGAGAGATATGGACAAAGCCACAGCCAAAGAGATCCTTGAAGGGGTACAGATGGAGAAGGAAGAACAGAATATAGTACTGAGACGGCTGTATTGATATGACTCACATGAATTACATATTTGAGTATACGGTGCACAAGTTACCGTCTTTACCTTGAATATGTTAATAATGTTTTCGTGTTGTGGTAGGGAGGGACGAGCAGAGCGACGCGCCCTCACGCAGCAGGTGGAGCAGCTGAAGAAGGACCTCACTTCTTTACGGCACACTTACCAGGTACCATTATGCTTCCTGGGTTCGTAATAAAGATGGGTTGGATCGGTGTCTGGGCACAGCCCGTTCTCATCAGCAAAGGCCAAATGCTCGTTAATCTAGCCGCCAAAACCCCAGTTTATGAATGAAAAACGGTTTACACGCGACTCACAACTGATGACGTTCGAACATTTCTCAAACAGTGCTTAGCTGGCGACCTCAGTCTGAATCATAGCTAAATGCTTCACCCACGTACTTTAAATACAAATACAGCCCGTCTTCGTCAACAAAAGTCAAATATTCATTCCATCCAACTGCCAAACCCCCTGTTTATGAAGGAAAAATGTTTTATACACACCCATCCTCAGCTCAGGCTCGTTAAAGCTGCGGTGGGGCGCCCCCCCCCCCCCTCCCAAGACACATTCATCAATTGTAATATATTGTATATAAAAAATTGGTTTCTTCTCATATAGTAGCAGTATTTTTTTATTACAATTCTACGTATAGTTAGGCTTAGGTTAGATTAGGTTAGCTGAAAGAATTATGCCCTTAAGGATTTCATTTATGTGATTTACATCATTCTTAATTCCTGAAAATTCAGTGAACATTCATCAGCATAGACAGCCTATTGTATTAACATTATTATTATAATAATATTAATAATAATACTAATAATAGTTAGTATTATAGATAGGCTTCTATAGAATTATCTTAATATTATTAGTGTATAGTAATCACCATTCATTTTTTTATGATTTTGAATGGGTAATTCCTCTCTCAATTTGCATTGGTTGATATATTAGTATCGTACATGGCCTTCGGGACGTGACAGGAAGACCTGTAGGATGCACCTTTACAAATCATATTTGTTTCTGTAATTGTTGTACTATTGTGTTTTATAAGCCCTTGGTGTGACGATTCCCTGATTTCACGTGAGTGAAATCTGATGCCTCTGTTGAGGGAAGGAAGCTGATGAAGGCGTCATCCGATGCATGTCTCCAGTTGTGTCATAGTGTTATATTTGTATATATCCGTGTGCCCATAAACATTGGTGGCGATGGCTGCAGGTGCTTTGTCATTGTGTTTCATGGCTTGCGTTTTGTATTCTGTATTGTACATTAATGCTTACATTTTTCTTAACACGCTATGTGGTTATTCATTATTACACGCAATATTTGTTTTAGGTTTTTGCAAGTTTACATATATATATATATATATATATATATATATATATATATATATATATATATATATATATATATATATATATATATATATATATATATATATATATAATATTTTTTTACTACTGGTGCAAGTGTAGGGACCCATAGCCTCGGAGAAGAAAATAAAGAGTACTCAAGGAAGCCCTTGTGGATCCTCACTGAACACTTTGATATCTTCTTCTCCTACCACCCCTATTCTTTCAGTGTGTATATATATCTAACTTTATTTTTAAATTTCATTTCACAAAAAGGGTTACAACATTGGTTACATGCAAGATACATGAGTACTTGTCACAAGTTGTATAGCCCCTCCAACTCCTCAGATGACAGGCAGGAGCCATGGAGGCAGTGAGCATTTCCTCTCTGGATCGCCACACTAAGGCGCTGAAAGAGAAAACTGGCGGCTCTAGGGTCTCTAGTTGTTTCAATTAGCTTGGACCCCAGCTCCTTCAAAAAACTTGCAGCACTTTTACCCCAGGCACCAAGTGTCCCTGAGGCAATGGGGACAAAATTGTAGTGGTGATCAAGGTCTCCGTAGTGACGTGACTTGGCTGCTTCCCGGTGATTGGCAGCACCTCCTGCCTGTGCAGCACTGAAGTTAACATAGGTGTTGGCTAAAGTTGAAACGCAAGTGTAGTCCCCACACCAACTGCCTACCATTCTACCAGGGGTTCACCGTGATCCCATCTGGGCGACCGTCAGGCTCATCAGAGTTGCGGGGCATTAGGTAACGGGGCTCTCTCTCTGCTGGACAACCGACCGTGGTAAGGCTTCTCTTGATAATGTCGTTAACCTCGCCGTGTCTTGCATGCCATCCTCCAGTCCTTTGGCAGAGAAGGCCATGGCGTCCGTACCTGTCAGCCACTGCCTCGCCGCAAATACACCTGTATTCGGTGTGGATTGGGGCAGCGAGGCGGAGAGCCACAGCAATTCGGAGGGCCTGCGGTGTGAGACGAGTGCCAGTTGCTGACATTGGGGTTGCTAATAGGAAGTCCCCTGCATGGGGAGCTGCTACAGCTCTAAGTCGGGCAGTATCATGTGGTGTTGTCGCAGCTTCTAGTAATGTCGCAGCTTCTTGGTCGGCAATGGGATATATATATATATATATATATATATATATATATATATATATATATATATATATATATATATATATATATATATATATATATATATATATATATATATATATATATATATATATATATATATATATATATATATATATATATGAGAGAGAGAGAGAGATATGGATAAAAAAAAGTAATATGCATGTTCTTGCCATACAGGTGACAAAGGGGTGTAAGCTGGGTCCTGGAGGTGAAGCAGACATGGGTATCGTGCAGGAGAAGTTAGGTACCAGTCTTGACATGCGCTGGCAGAGCAAGGTTGCCAGCCAGATGACTCGTCATGACACTACCATGACACAGCTTCAGGTAACTAACAAGTGACATACCAGTTTACTACCATGATTCCTGAATAAACCTTGTAAACACTAGGCTAAGGTCATGAAATAAGTCATTTGAATGCTATGCTAATTAAATCAAATGTCGCACCAGTGTGTTATATAATCACTAGTACTATAGGTAAGTACTCGATTATTATTATATTTAATTTTTGTATTTTGGGGTTGTATCGAGGTTGCCCTCTAGGTCGAACCTACAGCAGTTGCCTAGCTTCGGTTACCTGTTTACTGTTGGGTGAAGATGTTCAAGTGACTTCATTACAATACACATTTGTAGATCCTTGCTGTTATTAATAATGTTAACAATACTTCTGTACTGTTCATAACACTACAGATTCCATAATGTATTAGTCTATGTCGATCATCATTAAGTTTCTCATATTTTGTTTATATTGAACAATACATCATTTATTATATTTCTTGAACATGTGTTAGCTTACTTCTCATTTAGTGTGAAGTGTTTACCCCATTATACCTATAAATAACTCTTATCTGAATTATTGTAAATTTCGCCAGAAACGCTCAGTGTTGTAGTGGCTGCATTCTTTGTCCAACCCCTGTACCGGCAGTTTGTCTCGATCCTATGGTCTTTGTAATCACATTCTTATAAACAAATTATTATTATTATTATTATTATTATTATTATTATTATTATTATTATTATTATTATTATTGAGAAAATCCGTAGAAACAGTGATGGGGGTTGTGCATGGGAAATAGGCTTACAGGTTCCGGAAGATGAGAGGAAATGTCAGTACTGTGGAGAAATGCCCGACAGACCACTGGAACATTATCTAACACAGTTACCTATCAGTAAATAGGTACCTGGGAGTTAGACAGCTGTTACGGAGCTGCTTCCTGGGTGTGTGTGTGTGTGTGTGTGTGTGTGTGTGTGTGTGTGTGTGTGTGTGTGTGTGTGTGTGTGTGTGTGTGTGTGTATGGAAAAAAATTAGTTAGTAGTTAGTTACAATTGATTGATTGAAAGTTGAGAGGCGGGCCGAAAGAGCAGAGCTCAACCCCCGCAAGAACAACTAGGTGAATACACCGTCACGATGTTAGTGACTCATAAACCTATTTAAATACTTCAAGTTTGGACACATAATTTCAAAGCATTATCTGTATACTGGAAAACTTATTGATACAAATCCAATACAGGCAGATGTTGAGGGCCGAACAAGAGAGCTCCGAGCACTGCAGAAGGAGGAAGCAGCTCTGGCGGCCCACATCTTGGCGCTGCGTCAGGAGAAGGATCACCTCCTCTATCACCTGACACACGCCTCTCCACCTTCCACAGGCAGAGTAAGCTACACTTTACGCTCTTTGAGACATTATATCATCCACGACTTTACCTATCAATTCCTCTAAATATAATAAAAAGAATAATAAATATTATTTTATTCTCTCCACTATTATCTGTATGTCTTCAGAAGTATGTCTGTATGTCTTAATTTTAGAAGCAAGAAAAACGAGGCGTTACTAAGGGCGCCGCCGGCAAGAGCAGGCAGGTGGGCGGGTGTGAGGAGGTGGAACGCCTAAGACTCACTGTGGCCAGGCAGGACGGTGCCATCACAGCTCTCAGGTGACGTCCCTCATTAGTTATTAACACTTCAAAATTATATACTGGTTTTGTTTTGCTCGTTAATTATGCATATATTCCCATCCTAGGAAGTGGTGGTGGAAGGTGCATCCATACCCATCCTATTGCTAGCTGTGGAAGGTGCTCCCCGGTCCCATCCTGTGGGTAGCAATGGAAGATGCATCTATACCAATCATGTGGGGTAGTGGTAGAAGGTGCATATCATGCCCATGCTGTGGGTACAGGTGGAAGGTGCACCCAATACCAGTCTTTTAGGTAGCGATGGACGGTACACCTCATACCCATCCTGTGGGTACTGGAGGAACGTGCACCCCCATACCTATCCTTTAGGTAGCTATGGAAGGTGCACCCCATACCCAGCTGTGGGCGGCGATGGAAAGGCTTCTGTTACGAGTTTAATTACAGTACTTGTGGTAATGTTACAATGGTTATCAGGTTAGATTTTTAAGTTTCCAGGCAGTGCGAACTTAGACAGAATGTACTTTTTTGGGAAACCATCTGTAATAAGCAAACTTTGGGTACTTGGCTAAGATTGTGGGTAATATATCACCTTGGATTAAATATTTGAACATGTATTGAACATTAGTATTAGCGTTGCCTCTAAACAAAATTTGTTTTCATATAGAAAACCATTCAAATTCAAGGTTTTTAAATTTCATGCCTGAGAGTTGTTATAAAAAATCTTTAATGTTGTCATGGAAATGACATACAGAATATATTTTCATTTGTTAGCTTATGTTTTAATCATTTAATAACTGACTCTTAATTTACATTTATGTTTTATTAAAATCCCAGTAATGTGAAATGCGGTGATTTAGGTTTACAGCTGGGTCTAAATTCAGGATAGATGAAATATCAACAATATATATGATGGCCTCTTTGTTTAAATTAAGAGTACAGTCATGTTATATTAATACGAATATTATCCTTTCTCAGGCGTGAAATTAATGTCCTCCGCAGCAAGACAGGTTCCGTGGTGCTCCCCGGCCACCTGCCTTTGCCCGCAGCCAGTGATGGCACCTCCAGTCCTCCTCTGCCACACACACACACTTCCACACAAGAATCACACACACACAGAGAAACAAAGTCTGCTGAAGCAACACTCTTCGAGGCAAATTCTCAGCCTTTGCCTGAACTGGACCTCGGTGATGCTCCAGAAGATAATGTGGTCAGTCCAGGTATTGGTGATGAGAGCATTTCAGACTCTGGTGATGAGAACGGTGACACCAGTATGTCATCAGAGTTATCTGAGTCATAATTCTGCTCATCAGCTTAAATGTTTACCATAGTAAATGTGCAAGGTTTGCAGCTGTATCTTCGCCTGTTATGATATTAAAAGTTTTACCTGCATTATATATTCGTAAGAAACTGCAGACTTATTTTGAAAAAAGTATGTCTGATAATGCATAAATATTGATTTGTAAAATATCCAATAAGTTTAAGATTATATACAGTAATTATAACAAATTCAATGTCAACCATGAAAATTACAACTTTAGGATTTTTATATGAAAGTGGCCACAATCTTGGTCATTCTTGCAGAACACTAAAATGTATTGACATTAATATTGCATTTTCCTTTTTCCTTTATTTAAATTAATTTTTTAATAGCATTTGGCAGGGAAGTCCAAATGGAATCAAAATTTAAACAATCTATTTTTAATGTTAAAAGGCGAATGTTTCAAGATGAAGCCATATTTATCTAGCTTAATGCCATCGTAAAATCTGAGGTTGGTACACAGATCTTGGAATACCTTAAAAAGTTGGACAAGAAGATTGAAACGCTAGAAAAGTTAGCTATGACAAGCAGACTGGGTGAAGTGGGGAGTGAGACGGGAGTGGAGGAATGTAAGAGGATGAAGTATCGATTATGGAAGATAGTCAGGAAAATGAACTATTCATAAGTGATGGCAGTGTTCAACCCTGTGGTGGAAAATATTGACACAAAAGTTAAAGTCAAACGGTTTAGAAAAATAGAAATTGAAGACATAGTTGAGAATAGAATCACCTTTGATGTTAGTAGCTGCACAAGTGAGGAGAAAAGAGCTGTGTAACGTTGTTGGGAGTTTCTGTATAAGGGGGTTATGGTTCTCAATAAATTTACAGACAACGGTAAAGTTAGGGAGTTTGTAACTCTTCGTGGAAAAAATATGGTGCATTTTCAACCCTGGAACGTTAACGGGTTGAAAAATAGAGCGGTGAACGTGCACTATTATTATATTCTCAGAATATTGACTTGGTATGATGGAGAGAATTTATGGGAGGATCAGACAGTTTGACCCAAGAGATTAAGTACTAAGATTCTTGTAATATATTTTGTAATATGTACTATGTGATGACTATTGAATTAAGGTATATGTATTTGTACTGTATATTATTATTTGTTAACTGTATGGAATTGTGAGCCCCTTGAGGGACTTGAAAAAGGGGAGTTGAAATAGCCTAAACTTCTCTATCTTTTAGGGATGTATCAAATTCTCTCAATAAACATACTTGAATTTTAAGGTAACCGCATGGTAAGATAATCCTTCCCGGGGCGATAGATTTCCCTGCCTTAATTGCCTTTAATACTTCATTCCAGGTAATGTCTATGGATATGCAAACAATCCACCCTTCTGAAATGATAGTACTTACAGTAACTATTTGCTCTGAAGTACCAGTTAAATATGTAGTGATGGACTACAGAATAAAGGCGTATTGGCCCACACGTGACAGCTCCTATTGATATTAATTCATACATGCAAATATCCATTTACAATATAGGCCAGAAAAAAGGGATGGTTTTTTTACCCATAGGGTTGTAAACCCGTGGAACCGCCTACCCGCCGTAGCCGTAAATAATAATAATAATTTATTTACAAGACGATACAATGGGTTGGTGAGATTACATTAGTGATATTTTTATATTTTTGCAAAGCCACTAACACGCATAGCGTTTCGGGCAGGTCCTTAGTATAAATCTCGATGAAAAGGTACATTGTAGCAAGGTTTTATATCAACAATATAAACTGACAGAGGTGATTACACTGGTAAAGATTAAGTACTTAATTACTCTTAAGTACTAATATTGGGGAAGTGGATAGTAAAGATACAGTGTGAGTTTGAAGCACACACATTCAGCCCCGCTCCTGTGCCAGGTAAGTCACCATAGCCCGTGCTACTTGAAACGTTTTGTTCCGAGTAGCTGAATCTAAAACAACAACATTGAAGCACAAGGTAGGAAACTATGAGGATGAAATTAGGTACTTTTTTATTTTACTTATGAACAGGGCATAGATTGGACAATTTTTTAATTCATCAGGGAGGGAATTCCAAAGACTGGGCCCTTTTTATTTGCATGGAGTGTTTGCTCAGATTTAGTTTGACTGGGGATATCAAAGAGATATTTAGTTCTGGTGTGGTGCTCATGGGTTCTATTACACCTATCAAAGAAAAGTTTCAGATCAAGATTAGCATTTAGGAACAAGGTTTTGTACATAGCACATGAGAATGTGTGGAGAGAGTATATATTTAGCATGTTAATTTAAGGGACTAAAACAGAGGGGCTGTGTGTCGTCTGAAGACAGAAGACAGAATTTGTATAGTTCTAATAGCAGATTTTTGCCGAGTGATGATTGGCTTGAGGTAATTTGCAGTAGTTGAACCCCTTGCACAGATACCATAATTGTGCGGTGTTATGGCCCTCTTGGGTCGCAACTGGGTTCTTTCTCTGATGTTAGTAGAGCTTGGGTATCCGGCCCCAAGCTAGTAGTGGCTTTCAAGGGGTGTGCTCCGTAACGCAAGTAAATTAAAGGGGAAGGGATAAAACTGCTCAGAAATAAATATATATTCACCACCACCAATAAATATATAAACAGTCACACGCTGTTACTATAACTACACTTATTTACAATCACTTGTCTTCCTCCGAAGACACAGGATGCTCTGCTTAACGGTGCTCAAGACGAGTAGCCCTGGTTCTCTTCTTGTGGCCTCTAGACGAATCCTTAGATTCTCCCAGCGAGTCTACCCCGGCCACAGGCCAGCCAAATCACAGTCCCACTGGGTGCACCGTCGTGGAGGCCGTCAACCACAAATCCAGCCTTTAGCTGGCAGGTTCCAATCAGCAACGCTGCGTAGGCCACTCCACGACCGATACTAGGGTTGCGAGCCCTAGGCAGGAGCCTCGTGTGATTTCACAGATCACTCTCCTCACCACAACACCCCAGTGGTTAGTCTTCTCCACCAGTCAGTCCCGGGTACAACAAATCCTCAACTGCTACGTCACAGGCAGGCTAACACAACAGTGTTCATCCGGGGGGGGGGGGGGGTGACACAGCTTCAGCAGCAAATGCGTGGAGGTTCTACGGCTGCCTTGGGTAGACTGATCCAACGTTCATTACAGCAGTCCCAGGTCGACTCTGTAATCAGACACGTCATCAGTACTAGTTACACTCTAGGGCACCTCACTCACAGGCTTAGACACAAACGCCCACCTATCCACTCCATAGATGGCGTTGCTGTCTAAGCGTCACCTCACCAGAGGTCAGCAGCGGCTGTGTTATGAGCTAATCAGGACGGGAAACCAGCCCTTGTGGCCGGTATATCCCGTCCTCACTAGATGGCGTCGTCCATTTGGAGGGGGTTTCGGGAGCTGACCCACAGATGGCGCGGTCGTCACTGCTCCGTGTTCAGACGCTGGGCTCGGGTCCGTAACAGCGGTGGCACAGTATCTGCAGGCGGCTTCGGCTAGCTGTCGTCCGATGTCCGCCTTGCTGATTCTCTGGGGGTCCTGGGGTACCATCCGGATGGGTGGTAGACCCGTCTTTGTCTAGTCGGGGCGGTGTTTGCTCTGTGCAGAGCTTGGGCCCTGGTAAAGGGCGTTGGCGCTTTTGCAGTTTGTCCCATTGATGGGGCGATGGGGGTAAGCTTGTTCTGTTAAAAAAAAAACTCATGCTTGGTCCCACGATTTGTGGGCTTTTCGGGCCGTTTCCGACGGCCTGCGGTGGCGTTAGGTGACCCCGCCTCCTTTGGGGTGGTTCGGGGCTCAAGGGGCATACCTCTTCTCCTGCGCTTTGTCGGATCGTCTTTGGAGTGGGTGCGCTTGGGCGTAGTCGAAACGACGACGTCTCTCAGATGGGCTTCCTGTCTGTTCTCATTGTGCAGTTCATTCTGGATTTGTCCCGTCTGAATCCCTGGGTTCATTGCTCCTCGTTTTGGATGACTACTGTCTTTGGATGACTACACTTTGGATGACCAAAGACTACACTTTGGGTTGATCCGGTTTCCCTTCTTCCCTGTTCCAAGGTGTAGGTCACTCAGGTCGTCCGCAGGGTTATTCGGTCCAGCCAGCCTGCGGTCTATCCTCGTGCCTACGACGTTCGTAAGTTTGCTGCTCTTGCTGCCGTCTGTGGCAACATGTCTTGGGCTGATATTCGAGCGCGGGGATTTTGACAGCCAAACAGGGTTCAGGCTGTGCATTACCTAGTTAATGTTCCTTGGCCTCGTCGGGACTGTGTTACTTTGGGTCGAAGGTTGCAGCCAGTTGTCTCAGCTCCGCGTTGAGGAGCGAGCAACGACCGCCTTCCGGGTAAGTCCCTAGCTCTTGTTTTCTTCGTTTGGAAAGTAGCTCCGGGGAGCCGAAGGGGCTCCCCCCAGAAAACCAGCGTTGAATGTAATGAAGCACCATTTTCTGAGTGAGACCTGGAGGCACCTTGGCAACCTTCCCTCCCTCCGGTCGGTGGTTTTTCGTGTGTTTCTGATATCCAGCCTCAGAACTGGGATCTTGGGGTAGCTGGTACGAGGGGTCTTGGTCTCCCCCCTCCCGGTGAGGGGAGGAGCAGCGCAGACGGCGGCGCAGCAACGTGGTAACATCATGCTCGTTTTTGTTAGGAGAGTTCTGTCCACTAGTTCGGCTCTCAGTAGCAATTTCTTAACCTGAATAGAGGTTTGTTTTGGGATGCTTACCTTTCTGGGTGTCTGACCCAGTCGATGACAAACATAGAATGCTTCCAACCACATGGGGGTTTCTATAGGCAATTGCTCCTCGTGACTCTCTGAGGCGGCCATGCAGGTTCTGGCTCGTGGTCCCGGGGTAGGCCTAAGAGCTCCATTCACATTGACTGATGCCAAAATCTAATATTAGCAATATCAGCCTGGATAGCTCAGGGGAGCCAACGGGTCTCGCCCAAGAAATGGCGTTTCTTTACATTCAACGCTAGTTTTTGGGTCTGAAGCCATATTGGCAAGAGCTAAATATATTGTGTTTAGCTAGATAAGAGTAAAGATGCTTGTAGATTAGCTTTTCAAATATTTTTGACAAGGTTGGCAGAATTTATATATTCCTGAAATTGTTGACATCAGTGAGATTACCACATTTATGGACTGGAGTTACTCTCGTTTCTTTTCTTTCAGAATATCTGGAAAGGTTTAAAGTTCAAGTGATTTGATATAGAGCAATGCAATGGCTGGAGCTAGAAATCTGGTGTTTTTTTTGTAAATTAGGGTTGGTATCTCAGGAAGGGCACTTCACTATGCTTTAATAGAAAGGATTATTTCATTAACATCAGAGGAATTAACGGCGGTGACAACAACAGCAATGACATCAGCATATAGCGGCGGTGACAACATCAATGACATCAGCATATATAGCGGCGGTGACAACGACAGCATCATATATCGACGGTGACAACGACAGCAGTGACATCAGCATATATCGGCGGTGACAACGATAGCAGCATATAGTGGCGGTGACAGCGACAGCAGCATATAGTGGCGGTGACAGCGACAGCAGCATATAGTGGCGGTGACAGCGACAGCATTACAAGCGACGGCAGCAGCAGCAGCAGCAGGAGAAGCCAGAGAGCGTCTGTCACGGGGTTGGGCCGCACTGCGCATCAGCTACTTCCCAGGACACCACATTCTGCCGTCACCTGAGTGAGGATCATCTCCAGCAGCACCACCATGAAGGTCCTTGTGGTCCTGTGCACGGTCGTGTCCTGCCTCGCCTCTGCCCAGCTATTGCGTGCCGACAAAATGGTAAGGCGGGGCTGGAAGACCCTGGAATATATGAGCATGTTCCAGCCCTAAGCAGGCTGCCAGAGGCTTTGTTCCTTCACCTGAGGAATTTTATTGATTTCCCGAGAATGATGCATTATTTTTTTTACACTGGTTGTAGTTGATGGGTTTTCAAATTGTTAAATACTGGAGAGCGTGAACTTTGAAAGATGTTATATATGAAGTTTCTTCCAACCACAAGGGAACCGCTGGATTAAATAAAAATACTCTAGGTGCTAAATGTGTCGTATGTAATAAGTTATTGTATAGGTGGATTGATTTATAAATACCTTAATTTATGTTGTCATTGGCTCTTAGAATTAGTCTAACATATAAATAATATTTTGCTGAACATAAGTACAGGTACAATATACGTTGGTTATCCATTGTCAGGGACAGGGAGGCCTTTTAGGCTTACCGAGGATTTAGGCCTATGACTAAATTTTGCCAGGATCGTTGCTTAACTACCAAGTACCTTTTTATTACTAGGTGAATATAAGCTCATCTAATGTAAGGAAACTTGCCCAAACATCTGTAGCCGGGAATTGAACTCAAAAGTGCATGAAGCCAGTTTATTTATTTATTTATTTATTTATGCATATACAAGAGATTAAGATTAAGATGTTTATTCAGGTAATGTACATAAGGAATGTGAGGATACAAATATGGTAATTACAGTCTTGTAAAGCCACTAGCACGCGCAGCGTTTCGGGCAGGTCCTTAATCTAAGAAAATTTTAAGGAGGTAAATACTTGCAAAGTTTATAGACAAAAAAATGAAAACAGATTACATGGAATGAAAAAAAAAGATGAGAGAAAATTATAGGTACAGTATATTAAAGCACATAGGTAGCTATGATTGATTGCAATGACAGCTTAAAATGGTAGTTGACAACAAATTGGTAGGCACAATACAGCAGAAACAATATATGATTGATTGCAATGACAGCTTGAATGGTAGTTGACAAAAATTGGTAGTCACAATACAGCATATGGCTAGCACATAAAAGAAGACAGCAATGAACACAATGATAAGGTTGTTTGATATTACATAAAAATTAGGAGATTGGGTAACACTAGGTACAAAGCAAATTTAAAGCTCAGTGTAGGAAACTAAATAGATGAAGTTAGGTACTTTTTGGTTTTGCTTTTAAATAAGGCAAAAGTTTTACAGTTTTTCAATTCACTAGGGAGTGAGTTCCATAGACTAGGTCCCTTAATTTGCATAGAGTGTTTACACAGATTAAGTTTGACCCTGGGGATATCAAAGAGATATTTATTTCTGGTGTGGTGATAATGGGTCCTATTACATCTGTCCAGGGAGAGTTTCAGAGCATGGTTTGCATTTAAGAACAGGGTTTTGTAAATGTAGTTGACACAAGAGAATGTGTGGAGGGAGTTAATATTTAGCAAGTTTAGGGATTTAAACAAGGGAGCTGAGTGTTGTCTGAAAGCAGAGTTAGTTATTATTCTGATAGCAGATTTTTGCTGTGTGATGATGGGCTTAAGGTGGTTTGCAGTGGTAGACCCCCATGCACAGATACCATAATTAAGATAGGGGTAGATTAGTGCATAATATAGTGAGAGGAGAGCAGAGTTAGGAACATAATATCTGATTTTGGAGAGTATACCAACTGTCTTAGAGACTTTCTTAGTTATGTGTTGAATGTGGGTACTGAAGTTGAGTCTCTTGTCTAGGAATAGGCCAAGAAACTTGCCATCATTTTTATTACTGATGTTAATGTTGTCTATCTGTAGCTGAATTGCATTTGATGATTTGCTTCCAAATAAGATGTAGTAAGTCTTTTCGGTGTTTAATGTTATTATTAATTTAATGTTATTATGAATTTTTAATTCATTATTCACAACATTATTTAGTGTATGTGGGTTGAGGTTTGAGTAGATAAGGGTAGTATCGTCAGCAAACAATATAGGTTTGAGAATATTAGAGACATTAGGCAGATCGTTTATATATATAAGAAATAGAAGAGGTCCTAAGATGCTGCCCTGTGGCACTCCAACGGTAATTGGTAGAGTGGAAGAAGTTGTATCATTGATGGTTACATATTGGTGTCTGTCACTAAGATAGGATCGGATGTAGTCAAGGGCAAGGCCTCGGATTCCATAATGCTGGAGTTTAAGTAAGAGGTAGTTGTGATTAACAGTATCAAAGGCTTTTCTTAGGTCAATGAAGAGTCCAATCGGAAACTCATTTTTGTCAAGGGCTGAGTAGATAATGTCAAGGAGACTAATGATTGCATCATTGGTACTCTTTTGGGACCGGAAGCCAAACTGGCAGGGGCTGAGTATGTCGAATTTTACGAGGTAGGAATAGAGCTGTTTGTAAATAATTTTTTCAAATATTTTTGATAGAATGGGTAGATTTGATATTGGTCTATAATTGTTTATGTCCGCCGGATTGCCTCCTTTATGGACTGGCGTTACTCTTGCTTTTTTGAGGATATCAGGGAAGGTGTGATACTCTATAGATTTGTTGAACAGTAGTGCTATGGGTGGGGCAAGGGCATGGGAGGCTCTCTTGTACACAATGGACGGAATTTCACTGGTGTTCCCTGCCTTGGTTTTTAGAGAATGTATGATGGACACAACATCTGCCGGGCTGATTGGTGAAAGGAGAAGAGAGTTTGGATAGCTGCCTGAGAGATATGTGTTAATATGTGTCTGAGTCTGTGGGATTTTACTGGCAAGATTAGCACCAACCGATGAAAAGAAACTGTTAAATTCATTTGCCATTTCTAAGTCAGTTGACGGTATACCCCCATCCTTGTAGAGTTTTATTTGGTTATGTGAGTGTTGTTTAGTTCCTAGGATACTAGAGATAGTTTTCCAAGTGCTTTTCATGTTGCCTTTTGCTTCATTGAATCTATTCACATAATATGCAAGTTTTGCCTTTCTTATGATACTGGTAAGCATTGATGAGTACCTTTTAGCTACTTCCTTTGAAACTAGGCCAATCCTAACTTTCTTTTCATATTCATGTTTCTTGTTGATTGAGTTGAGAATGCCACTTGTGAGCCATGGATTGTTTAATCTTTTGTCAGTTACTTGCTTGGTAAGGAGGGGACAATGAATGTTGTAGAGGCTTAGAGTTTTGGAGATGAAGAGGTTAGCTAATGAATTTATATCATGGGTATTATTGAATTCAGAATCCCAGTTAATATTGTAAAGTGCCTCTGTAAGATTGTCTAAAGCTGATTCACTGTGTAGCCTAAATGAAAGTTTCTTGCTTTTTGGTGGTGTTATGTCCATGTTCGCTATGAGAAAGGTAGGATAGTGGTCAGTTGTTCTGTCGTAGATTATACCAGATACAAGGGGAGCTGTTATGTTTGTCCATATGTGGTCCAAGGTAGTGGCTGATGTTTGGGTGACTCGGGTAGGTTTGGTGATTGTGGGGATTAGCATACAGGAGTTCATGCTGTTAAGGAAATAGTTAACTTGAGAGCAATTTTGTTGACCCAGGTCAATATTAAAATCTCCTCCCTGAATGAAGTGGTTTTTGTTGAGATTGTTGTTTATAATAAGATTCCTTAGGTTGTCTGAGAAAGAAGCTATGTTAGTATTGGGAAATCTATAGATGGCTCCAATAGTCAAAGAAGATTTAAGGGATTTAATTGAAAACTGAGCAAAAGTATATTCACAGTAGTCATCTCTGTCACTAATAACACTGTTGCAGATAAATGTATCTCGGTAATATATAGCTGTGCCACCACCTTTTTTATTAGGCCTACAGTTATGAATGGCTTTATAACCAGCTAAGTTGTAGAGTTGGGTATAGTCTTTATTTAGCCAAGTTTCTGTTAAAATAATGAACGATAGGTTAGTACCTATTGCTGTGAGTAATGCATTTAAATCGTCAAAATGTTTACCAAGTGATCTAACATTTTGGTTATAAACTGATAGACAGGTGCTATTTTGAAGTTTGTGTTTAGCCTGGTGTGCTGTGAAATACTTGCAATAATGATGATCAATGTGCTGGTTGGTGTAGATATGAGACAGAAGATTTTGATCAGGATCAATATCAGTGTGCATAGGATGCAGAGGGATCACGATACAAGATACACGATAAAGCAAAACACAAGAATAAAAGCAAATACAATAAAATAGTAACAATTTAGAAGTAAAATAAAGATCCAATAGTTAGCCAGGGAGGACACAGAAGTTACATAAAATAAAAAAAACAAAAAATCAGTAGAGACTGACAATATAAATGTAAAATAAAAAATAATAAGAAAAATGATAATCATAAAAAAAAAAAAAATGATCTTGAAGATAATTAGCTTAGTAATGGTTAATTAACAGGGTAATAAAAAGCCCTAGGTTTAGTGACAAGGGATTAACTAAGAACAAATAATTAAGAGTATAAAACAGGCAAAGATGACAAACAAAAAAAAAATAAAAAAATAAAAATAAAAATAAACACCTTTGGAAAGGAAAGGCAGAGCTTAAGTACACTTTGGTTGTATGTGAGACTACAAATTATGTTCTGGTTATTCAGCTGATATCCCACAGTCATCCAGTAAAGGCATAACATACATGTATGTGTTTTTTGGCTTTGATTTACTTTTTACATGCAATTGTATCATTCTGTAGGAACAAACAATAATAATAATACTCACTAATCTATCCCTATCTAAAATATGGTATCTGTGCATGGGTTTCACCCACAACAAATTACCTCAAGCCCATCATCACCCAACAAACATTTATTTATTTATTTTTATTTATTTATTTGTATACAAGAAGGTACATTGGGTTTGTGAGAATACATTGCATATATTTACAATCTTGTAAAGCCACTAGTACGCGCAGTGTTTTGGGCAGGTCCTTTATCTAACAGATAATTTTAAGTAGGTAAATTCTAGCAGAATTAATAAAATGATAACAGATACATTGCAAGAAAAAAATGAGATGAGAGAGCATTATGGTAAGTATATTAAAACACATTGGTATATTAAAGCTCTGATTGATTACATTGACAGCTTGATTGGTAATTTAAACAAAATTAATAGGTACCATACAGCAGATTGATAGCACATATAAGAAGACAGCATTGATCACAATGGTAAAGAGTTTTGGATTGGGTACATAAAGATTGGGAGATTGGGTAGCAATAGATAAAGTGCAATTTTAAAGCAACAAGGTAAAAAACTATGAAGATGAAATTAGGTACTTTTTAGTTTTGTTTTTGAATGATGCAAAAGTTGGACAGCTTTTCAATTCATTAGGGAGTGAGTTCCATAGACTGGGTCCCTTTACTGGGAACATCTATCAGAACTATAACAAACTGCCTTCAGGCAACACACAGCCCCTCTGTTTAAGTAACTAAACATGATAAACATACGTGCCACACATTCTCTTGTGCTATTTACATGTACAAAACCTTGTTCCTAAATGAAAATCCTGATCTGAAAATCCATGAACCCATGAGCACCACACCAGAAATAAATATCTCTTTGGGCAGGTCCAGAGTCAAACTAAATCTGTGCAAACACTCCATGCAAATAAAAGGACTCAGTCTGTAGAATGATGAATGAATGAATTAAAAAAATCAATGAATTAATTATGATGAATAAAAAAAATTGTTCAACCTATGCCCTATTCAAAACTAAAACCAAAAAGCACATAATTTCATCCTGATAGTTTCCTACCTTATGCTTCCAAGTCGTGCTGTATCTTGTACTACCCACTTCCCCAATATTAGTACTTAAGACTACTAAGTACCAGTATCTTTACCAGTGTAATCACCTGTCAACTTATTTTGTAGTTATTTGTTGATATAAAACCTTGCTACAATGTACATTTTCATCTTACCTGATATGCTAGATTAAGGACCTGCCCGAAATGCTTTGCGTGTTAGTGACTTTGCAAGAATGAAAAAATACGAATCTTATGTAATATCACCAACCCATTGTACTTTGCAAATATATTATTATTATTATTATTATTTATTATTATTATTATTATTATTATTATTATTATTATTATTATTATTATTATTTTCTCTGACTGGCAAATTTTGATATCAAATTATAAAAATCTTTATTGTTTTAATGTTTGATGCCAGTAAGCAAACAAGTGAAAAACTTTGTTTCAGGATCTTGGAGTGTACAACCCAGAAACAAAACATTATGAAAAGGTATGATGTTAATGTAATAATTGTCTTACTAATGAAACTACTACTGTCACAAGCTGCTGTTTTAAGTTAGCTTATTTGCAAATACTAAATGGTCTGTATCAGACTGCATATTTTATATTTAATTTAATTTAAAGTTAAATTCATATACCTATCTTATATTCTAAGTTGTAAAGGATTTGTAATTCTGTACTGTAATCTAAGATAAATTTTCAAAGTTGCCTGTTTGGTCACTGTTAAGTTTATTGTGTTAAACTTTACATTGATATGTCTTTCACAAGTATTTACTATCTATAGCACCAACACCTTACGACCTGGAAGCTCTCAGTTAACTGGTAGTCACCAGAAGATTCTCCGTGAGGTTCTATGGCCACCCAAACCTTTCACTCATTTTTTTTAAGCTTTCCAGTACCTTCCTTCCATCCTTTCTTTCATATATTGTTTTACTTTTCTTTCCAAGATATTGGTCATCTGCCTTTACCACATGATTTAAAAAATTTCATACCACTGTGTGTGTACAGTATAATGCTTCTATTCCACAACAACCCATTTCATTCTCTTGCTTCATACATTTATATCATTTGTTCATATACATACCTCATTGCTACACCCACTCCATTCACTTTTAACCAACTGCTTTTCTCAAATAACTAAATTTCCACTGCTTTTGTCACTTCCATATGTCGAGTCTTGAAGTACAGTAGTATACCATCACTTGGTCCTTTCTTAACTTCCATACCAACATTTCTTCTATTCATTATATTATTCTATTCACTTCTTTTACTATCTTTCTTCTACTCATTGTGCTCTTAATTCACCTTCCAGATTTCCATTTTTACCTAGCACTACCCCCGTCATAACGTTACTTTTTCTTCCATTAGCCTTCAACTTTTATTTACAGTATTTTATTTATTTATATATATACAAGAAGGTACATGGGTTTGTGAGGATACATAGCATGGTGTTTACAATCTTGTAAAGCCATTAATACGTGCAGCATTTTGGGCAGGTCCTTAATCTAACATATAATTTTAAATAGGTAAATTCTAGCAAAATTTATAAAATAATAACAGGTACATTGCAAGAAAAAAATGAGATGAGAGAGATTCATAGGTATAATAAAGCACATCAGTAGCTCTGATTGATTACATTAACAGCTTGATTGGTAATTTAACAAAGATTAATAGGCATAATACAGCATATTGATAGCACATATAAGAAGACAGCAATGATCACAATGGTAAAGTTGTTTGGATTAGGTACATAAAGATTTAGAGATTGGGTAGCACTAGATACAGTGCAATTTTACAGCACAAGGTAGGAAACTATGAAGATGAAATTAGGTACTATTGGGTTTTGCTTTTGAGTGAGGCAAAAGTTGAACAGCTTTTCAATTTATTAGGGAGCGAGTTCCATAGGCAAGGACCCTTTATATGCATAGAGCGTTTACACAGATTCAGTTTGACTCTGGGGATATCAAAGATATATTTATTTCTGGTGTGATGAAAATGGGTCCTATTACATCTGTCCAGGGAGAGTTTCAGAGCAGGGTTTGCATTTAAGAACAGGGTTTTGTAACTGTAATTGACACAAGAGAATGTGTGGAGTGAGTTTATGTTTAGCATGTTTAGGGATTTAAACAAGGGGGTTGTCTGAAAGTAGAGTTTGCTATTATTCTGATAGCAGATTTTTGCTGGGTGATGATGGACTTGGAGATAGTTTGCAGTGGTTGAACCCTCATGCACAGATACCATAATTAAGATAGGGATAGATTAGGACATAATATAGTGAGAGGAGAGCAGAGTTAGGAACATTATACAGTATCTGATTTTGTAGAGTATACCAACTGTTTTAGAGACATTCTTAGTTATGTGTTGTATGTGGGTGCTGAAGTTGAGTCTCTTGTCTAGGAATAGGCAAAGAAACTTTCTATAATTTTTATTACTGATGTTAACATTGTTTATCTGAAGCTGAATTGCATTTGTTGATTTGCTTCCAAATAAGATAATGTAGGTCTTTTCTATGTTTAGTGTTAGTTTGTTGATTGACATCAACAAGTGGACTTTTTTAATTTATTATTCACTACATTAGTGTGTGTGGGTTAGGGTCTGAGTAGATGAGGGTAGTATCATCAGCAAACAATATAGGTTTAAGAATGTTAGAGACATTAGGCAGATCATTGATGTATATAAGAAATAGAAGAGGTCCCAAGATGCTGTCTTCTCCGTGATCCTCGTCACGGCCCTTGTGGATTTGTTCATGCTGCCTTCTATTGTACACACACAAACTCACTTGCAATCTGTTGCAATTCCTCTTCTTTCTACAAAGATTGCTGCATTATCTTCATACAAACATGTAAATCAAAATTTATTGCAATTACAATCCACTCCTGCTCCAATCCACATCCCATACTAACTTACATATCCATATTGATCGACTTGATAATGATCCAGGACAGACTGAAACGTCATCGTCTCTTCATTTTCTAGTGTGTGGTATGGTCAACATTTTTTATCCACGTTATTGTGACTCTTAACCGCTTACATATCTATATACATACATGCACACATGTTCATGTATACATGCATACACATACATACTTGACTTTCAGTATCTTACTCCCTTGGAAAAGAGTGACCATGTCCTGCTGGAAATTAAATATGCAATGCAATATAATTTAGAAGTGAATGGGGAAATTGAAATACTGTAGTTGAGAAACTTGATTTCAAGAGAGGGCATTATGGGGAACTTAGCAAATTCTTTAATGAATTTAATTGGAAAGACTTGTTGCTAAGCAAGGAAGTATGCCAAATTCTGTGAAGCATACAAGGAAGTCACAAAAACATTTATACTGAAAGAGATGTAGAGCTGGAAAACAGGATTGGTCCAACAGAAATTATGAGCTGGTCAAAGAGGAAAAGACAAAAAAATTGGGTACAGTATAGGAAGAGGCCTAACCCTCAAACATACCAGGACTACAAACAAGCAAGAAACAAGTACACAGCAGTGAGGAGAGAGACAGAAAGGAACTTTGAGATAGGGGGTAGTAAATAAACATAAAAAGAGATCCAGGCCATTTCTATAAATTCATTAAAAGCAAGTTCCTGTAAAGGATAAAATCCAGAGATTTAGAATGGGGAACAGTTTCACAGAAAATGAAAAAGAAATGTGCAAAACAATAAATGAACAGTTCCAAAGTGTTTGTGCAGAATAAGATTTTCAGAGAACCAAGCACAATGCCAATTCCAGAGAACACCACAGAGGTGTCTCGAGACACCTCTGTCTTAGAGGTGTCTCGAGACAAACTGGAAAAATTACTCTAGTGGTTAGGAAGAAATAAAACAATTGAACCAGATGGAGTTTCAGCTTGGGTGATGAAAGAATGTGCATTCCACTTCAGTTGATATTCCAAACAGTTTTGTGCCCAAGAAACTTAGCAGATACTGTATATGGGAAAAGGCAAACATAGTTCCAATCTACAAAAATGGTTCCAGAGAAGACCCTCTAAATTATAGATCCACATCATTAACAAGTGTCGTAATGTGTCGTAGTCAAATCTGTAGAAAAAATAGATAAAACCAAATGGGTAGAACACCTGAAGAGTAATGACATAATAAAACAGTGTGGTTTTTGAACAGGAAGAGCCTGTGTAACAAATGTACTTGGTTTTTAAGATAGAGCCACAGAGGTTGTACAGGAAATAGATGGTTGGGTTGACTGTAGCTATCAGGAACTAAAAAAAAAAAAAAAAAAAAAAAAAAAAAAATTTGAGTTCCACACAAGAGAGTGTTTTTGGAAACTGGAACATGCTGGAGGGGTGATGGAAACTGCTGACACAGATGAATATTTTTCTGACAGAATGATGAGGATGGTAATTAGAGGCAATGCATCTGACTGGAGGGGTGTTACTTGCAGAGTACCACAGGGTTCAGTTCTTATGCCAGTAATGTTCATTGTTTACTTAAATGCTCTACCAGAAGGCATACAGAATTATATAACCATTTTTGCTGATGATGCTAAGCTACTAGAAAAGATAGGAGACCTAGATTATTGTCATGCCTTTCAAATGAACCTAGATAAAATAAGTGCTTGGAGCACCATGTGGCAAATAGAATTCAAAGTGAACAAATGCCACATTATGGAATGTGGAATAGGAGAAAATAGACTGCATACAACCTGCAAATTATGTGGGAAGGACATCAAAAAACTCTTGACAAAGAGATCTAGGGGTGGTACTGGATAGTAGACTGTCTTCAGACTAACACATAAATGACATTATGTGAGGAGCATGTGGTGCACTTTCAGAATCTCTCTTAATTACATAGAGGATAAAATACTAAAGAAACTGTTCATGACTTCTGTGAGACGAAAATTGGAATATGCAACAATTGTATGGTGCCCATATCCCAAGAAGCACATCAATAAACTGGAAAAGGTTCAAAGGCATGCTAAAAAATGACTTTCAGAACTGAAAAACAAAGAGTTATGGAGAGAAGCAAGAAATGTTAAATAGAGTATGCATGAACTGAAAGATAGAAGAAAAAGAGGCAGTATGATCACTTGTAAAATAGTGGCAGGAATTGATCCAATTGACAAAGAGAAAGTTCTGAAACCAGCATCTTCAAGAACAAAAGGCTATAGATTCAAGCTAAGGAAACAAAGGTGCCAACAAAATATTTGAAAGTTTTCTTTTGCAAGCAGAGTGGTAGACGGTTAGAAAAAGTTAAGTGAGAAAGTGGTGGTGGTAAAAAAGTCAGTAGTTATATATACAGCCTTATATGAAAAAGGTGCTGGGAAGACGGGACACCATGAGCGTAGCTCTTATCCTGTAATTACACTTGGGTAATTACACATACCATGCCCACCTTTTGTCCTCAGGCATTTTTTGGGGTCCAACATATGGTGGGTTTATGTACTGTACTTAAATTATTCTCACCAGTGAAATTGAATCTAATCTTTAGAAAAATATAAATTTCTACATGTATATTTAACAAATATCAACTTTTGAGAATAATTGCTCTGTTTATTTATTTTTTAAAAATCTACTATTTTTGTTCATTGATTTGTTTAATACTTTATTTCAACAGGCTCAGCTAGGACAGGATGGCCATGATGAACAACACCATGGAGAAGTAAGATTTTTTATTGTCTTGTTGCTGGTATTGTCTTAATGTTGGCTTTATTTACATACGGTTTCAACTGACGAATGTCACTAGTTGGCCTGCCGAGCTGATACCCCTCCTTTAACTGCCACCAAGTGTCGGCAGCTGTATGTCAACAGCATCCACCAACTGCAGGAGATAACACCTGCATGATAGAAAAAGCACTTGAAACTCATCAACCTGATTACCTGTAGGCAGGATTGATAAAAATATATCCTTGAGAATTGAAATAAAATGGTGGGGACACCCAAAATCTATCTAGACAAAACTTTTTATAATAACATTATTAGTCCAGGAAGGGTGGATGTTTAGAACACCTTACCAGGTTTCATATAAGGGAAATTAGAGAGATCTAGGCCAAACCCCAGCCTCTGTTAGAGCAGTCTTATTAGGAACCTTTAGTATCTGTGAAGGGTTAAGCAATTAAGGACATAATGAGAGGAACATGACAAGAATATTTGTGGAGTGTCTGTCAGGTCACCTCATATTACTAACATGATGAGAGGAATGAAAATATATAATAAGGAGACCTGTTACCTGTTACCTGCTATTTGCTAAGTTGGCTAGCAATCCACCCTAGAAAGATCCACATGCAATGATCAGCAGAGAGCCTGGAAATGCTTGTGTAGTGCCAGTGCAAAATCATCTTGATTGTGAAATGGGACCACATGCAGTGTGCTGTTCCACACAAATGTGAAAACATCCATTTAGGGCATGTTGATGGTCTTGCATCTCCACCTAGAAGCATTGTGCACATCAGGCAAAACCAACATGCCATCCAGGAGAGACCTGGAAGAACCCCTACAATTGATGCACTGTTCGGCAACAGTTGGCAAGAGATTCATTTCAACTCACGCCATTCTGCTACTTTTTCACACATTATTTGTATACAATATTTTTATTTGTTTAAAAAATAAATATACAAGAAGTACATTGGATTGTGAGAATACATAACATTGGTGTTCTTACATTCTTGCAAAGCATTTTGCCCACTAACATGCATAGCATTTTGGGCAGGTCCTTAACCTGACAGATAAAAGAAGGAGTAATTAGAAGGTACATTGTAGCAGAATTTGATTTGATGTGAGACTACCAAAATCAGACCAGTGTCCCTACTCCGTGAGAAGATAGCTAGAGACAAAATGAATGTGTGCGTGAAAAGCTCGTACAATAGAAATGGAATGTCGCCAGGAGACTGAACCCCAAAACAGCCAGGAAAACTTGTGCATCACAATTTGCCTGGCATGGCCTGGTGAATACATGATGCAATGTGAGGGTAACTGAGAACTTTAGTACAGTGGTACCTCGCATAACGATTGCCCCAAAAGACGAATATTTTGGGTAACGAATGGCCCGATCGGCGTCAAATCGTCCCGTATGACGAACGCTGGTTTGAGTAACGTCAACACCACATGGTGGGGTCGCGCTGCTTCTTGCACATTCTTAGACGCCTCCGACGATGCACATAAATTATGTTGTTCTTGTTTAAAGATGCTAATGATGCTGGGATATAAAAGGGTGACTGCTGAGATGTTGCAAAGCATTGACGTTTTTGTAGGAAAAAAGAAATGAAATGTCTGATATACAACAAATGTCAAAAAGGTTCGTTCGATGTTCGGCAGGTAGGCTGCTCCATTATAACAATCTTTCTTTGTTTCAAATGTGTTCCATTTGTTTTTTATTTGTCATTTATGTCTCAATAATGGAGAAGCCTACCTTACATACACTGAATAAACCATTATGACATTTTCCTTTCTTCAAATGTGTTCAATATTTATTTTTCATTTGTCTTATAGCAAAAGATTCGTTTGGTGGTCGGCAGGTAGGCTACTCCATGTTTCTTACATACAAAAAACGTAAATAATAAAAAAAAAATGAAGAATTTTGAAAACCAGTACAAATGTCAAAAAGATTCGTTCAGTGGTCTACAGGTCGGCTGCTCCATGTTTCTTAAAAAAAAAAAAAAAAAACGAAAAATAAAAGAACTGTTGAAACAATTTGAAAAATGGACAAATGTCATAAAGGTTCGTTCAGTGTTTGTCGGGTAGGCTGCTCCATTATTGAGACGTAAGTGACAAATACAAAACAAATGGAACACATTTGAAACAAAGAAAGATTGTCATAATGGAGCAGCCTACCCAACAAACACTGAACGAACCTTTTGCTATAACGAATATGAAAGACAAGGGCTGCTGGCTGGGTTAATAGTGTGTGAGCAACCATTTGTGGCACACGTGCCTCTGGCTCTCAAACACCTGTCCCACACGGTGTTGAAAGACTGTGCTCAGTCGGTGCAATTCAGACCCTATTGTTTGAAGAACATAAGGGTCATAACATTGGTGAAGCTAGGCGCAATAATAACACAACGGTCGGATGCTAGTGATACAGCACCTATGAGGATGATACAGCGAGCGTATCCAGGTGTAGCTCTGAGCCCCACCCTTGCCATCTCTAATGTATATAGATGATACATAGATGAATCGTTTTCTGCGTTCAGTGATGATGCATCTGATACAAGTAGCATAGATGAACAGTGTTAGCGGCTTCCATGGTGGTGGTGTTCACTGATATTTTCAAGAATACCTGAATCTCTTCCTGATTGATGGACACTCTTTGAGGCTAGCTGAATCTCTTCCTGACTGATGGACACTCTTTGAGGCTAGCTGAATCTCTTCCTGTGTGGGACCTTACAAAGCGATCTTTTCAAGACTACCTTACAAACTGAGCTTTTCCTATAATCGTTTCAATACTACTTTATGCTTTACACGCTTGGCTACATACCACCTACAAGTACTAAATCCAAGGGTGCACGCGAGTGCGTTATTTGCAAGCACACAGAACGATGAAACAGGAAACGAAAATCTATCTGTAGCTGGTGCAAGGAGAGCAAAGTCGCGCTGTGTACCATGGACTACTTCGTTGACTATTACGCACCTCCAAAGTACTGAGTGTGTAATACAGTGTGTTACTGTGTAAATAGTATGTGAAACTGTACATATTGTAATTTTAGTGAATTTTTACCACGTAATATTGTGACAATAAACATTTATTGTGGACACATTACTGACACATGTATCACAGTTTCATGGAAAATTATGAACATTCTACTGTATACATATTGTAAAGGTCACAAATATGCATCATATACGATAAAAGAAACAAATAATACCGCATTGGAAATGCATAGAAAAAATATTTGAAAATATATTTGTGGTAACACGCGGTGCTTGAATGGCCTGCGCGACCGTGTCTGGGAGCTTCACACACGGGCGACCAGCCCCTGATGATGTCACAGCGCACCTTGTCCACGCCCTCACAGCCAAAGTGGAATTTGGTAATTATTTTTACATAGACATGCTCAGGGATGGTAATTTATCATTTTACAAAGAAAAATTATATTTTGGGGGAACATTTGATGTCATGCACACTGGGAAAATTTCACAATAAACACAGTGCATCACACTGGTTACATGGGGGACACTCGTTTTGTATGACGTCCGTTTTACATGACGAACATGGAACGGATTAAATTCGTTATGCGAGGTACCACTGTATCTCTCTGCTAAGCTTAAATATAAGGCAAGTCTTATACCTTCAAATTATTAACAGCATTTTCTGGAGGCAGCCCCATTGGCGACACAGAGCTATCCGGGCTGATATGGAATTACTGTATTAGCTTTCTGGCATCAGTCAAAGTGCATAGAGTTCTTACCTACCGGAGACCACGAGCCAGAACCTGACCCTGGAAGCATTCTATGTCTGCCATCGACCGGGTCTGGTACCCCAGAAAGGTAAGAGCCCCAAAAGAAACCATTATTCTGGTGAAAAATATTGCTACCAAAAGACAAACAAGTGGACAGAACTCCCCAAATGAAAATTTTGGCCGCCCTTGGAGTCAGCTGGGGTTTTTGTTGCCCTTGTTTGCCTCTGGGTAGGGGGTTACTTTTCGTCACAGGTTGGGGGCGCGGGGTACTGCACAGCTAGTTTTCACCTATTATAGCAACCGGCTCTGTTCTACCTAGGTATGTTATCCTCTTGCAGGGTTTTTCTTGTTTTTGTTTCCTGCCTGGTGGGGGGGGGGAGGGGCTTGCTTTTGGTTGGTTGTCCCTCTATCTACCTTTAGGGTTTATATATCCATATCTGTCTTGGTGTTACCTCCTGCTAGGCCTCCATGAGTGGACACGTCCCGGGGGGTCAGCTTTTAGAAGTTTGCTCGGTAGTCTTGGGTGCCGGTTCGCAGTACCCTGCCTGGGCTTCCCTTAGCGTGCATCCAAGGCTAAAAGCCCTGGGAAACCCTGCGGGGGCTCCGTGGACAAATGGATGCAACCCTTGAGTCCCCTCTTGTTTCGTCCGAAGTTGATGGTTGCTCTGTCCCCCTTGTCTCAGGGAGACAGTCACCGGTTGTGCCTCCGCCATGCTGCCTGTAGGGTAGGTGCTTCTTTTGACCCGGAGTTGTGCAACGTTTGTTCTTTGTACATGCTCCAGTTCACCCAAGCTACTGAACATGATATGAGGGTGCAGGCAGCAGAAGTGTTGCATGCTCGGCTTAGGTTGCTGCAACGCGATACGTTTTCCCGGTTGTCCCGAGATTGCCACCGTTTTGGTTATAGGGACCCGGACTTGGGGGGTGGGAGTTGCTTCGACTTTGGTTTCGTCCGCCCCTCCTTGTCCTTTCCCTTCGGTTGTTCATCCGGTTCCTCCTCCCCCCCCCCCCCCCCCCCCACCTGCTTCTGGCTCAGAAACGTGTGAAGGTTTCGGAGTCGGGGCAGAGTTTAGTTGGTGTTGAGACTCAGGCGGTCTCGGGGAAGTCCCCTTCCGGTGTAGCGGCAGAGGTATTCGAGCCTTGTCTTCCAGCCGGAGCTTCTGGGTATGACCTGTAGACCCCCTTCGTTCCTGCTTTTTCGGCTGCTCCTGCCTTTTCTTTAGACGCGGGAGGTTTGGAGGATGGCTCGGCCCTGGATCCTCGGGGTAAGGTTCCATGCGCAGGGAAGGGGTTGGGCCCTTGGTCCCCGTTGGACCCCACCTGGGTTTTTGTACCATTGGAGCGGGGCTTGGTGTTACAAGGAGAGGGCTTCTTGTAACATTTTAACATGCCAATTCCTCCTCCTCCTTTCGCTCCTTCCTCGTACGAATTGGATTTGGCGTCTACCCCCTCCTCGGGTTTGGTTTCATGATCCCGTGGGTTCCCCGGTCCCATCCTTCTGGAGGTTTTTGGCTTCCCGCATCCTGTCAAATGTGGTGCAAGGAGCCCTTGCGGCTTACCTCCTGTGTGAACTGGACTATGCCTTCGTGATGGATCTGCGTTCCTTCATGTATGGATGTTCGTGTCCGTACTGGGCTCATTATGAAATTCCGGAGTCATCCTGGTTAGCAGACTGCACACTCTTCTCATTGGAGGCTAGGCATACGTTCTGTCAGTCTTGCACTCTAGAGTAGAGGGAGGCTCAGACGGCATTGCAGGTTTTCCTGGGGGGCGAATTTGAGCATCTCAATGCATGTTTGTTTGCTTCTGCCATTCCGCAGGATGTTGGCGTGATGCTGCTTCATGTGCAGGTTCCTTCCCTTTTGGCTGCATTGGTTGCAGAGGATTTTGATTCCCGTGGCCTGCTGGCTTCGACCTTGCATTTCTTCTCCCTCCTCAGGCTGTCCTCAGATTGGCTTGAGTTGGATACGGAGGAGCTTGGGGCTGCCTCTGGGTCTGGTGCGTTGCCTTCATCAGTGCGTGCGTCGTCTGCATTGATGAAGCTGCTCATGCCACTCCTACGGGATGTGTTTCGTGGTTTTTTGCTTCTCGACTCGCGTGTTAGGTTGTCTTCGCCTTTTTGTCCGTTGCTGTTTGCCGAGTCGCAACGACAGACCAGTTGTTGTGCAGTATCTGCAAGCAGCTTCGGCTAGTTGCCGTCCTATGTCGGACTTGTTAGTCTTCCGGGGGGCTCATGGGGGACCTTCCCGGAAGTGGTTATGCCAGGACTCGGGGTTCTTCCTGTCATAGTAGGCAAGTGGTGCCAGATTCGACGCAGGCGCAGCCTTTGGTACCGTCTGTTTCTGGTCCGCGGGGATCGCCCTGTGCGCCACTTAGGTTGTTGTAAGGTGCGTTGGCCCTTTCGCGGTTTGTCCCATTGACGGGGGCGATGGGGGGGGAGGCTAGCTCTGTTTGCTCGCACCTGGTCCCACGATTTGTGGGCCTTTTGGGTTGTTTCGTGCGACCTGTGGTGGCATTGGGTTGCTCCACCTCCTCCTTTGGGAAGGAGGAGGAGCTGGTGGGGCAGGCCTCTTCTGCTGTGCTCTGTCGAGTTATTTCGAAGTGGGTTTGCTTGGGCACGGTCGAAATGACCATCTCTCAGGTGGGGTTCTTTCTGGTCCCAAACGGGACTGTGCGGACCTCCGGTTCATTCTGGACTTGTCCCGTTTGAACCCGTGGGTTTATTGCCCCCTCCTTTCGGAAGATTACTCTGTCCCAGGTCCGTCTTCTGTTGGAGCTGGGCGCTTGGGTGGTGTCCCTGAACCTCAAGGATGTTTATTGGCACGTCCCGATTCATCCAAGGTTCAGGGACTGGCTCGGTTTTGTTGTGGGGTGTCAGGGTTACCGTTTTCGTTGCCTTAATTTTGATTTGAATCTGGCGCCTCGTGTTTTCACATGTCTTACTCAGGTCGTGGTGGCCCACCTGCGTCTGTTAGATGTTCAGGTTCCGACTTTCCTCGACGACCCGGTAGGCAAGAACTCCATGCACTTTGACTGATGCCAGAAAGCTAATAATTCCATATCAGCCTGGATAGCTCTGTGGAGCCTCTGAGACTCGCCCAGAAAATAGTGTTTCATTACATTCAACGCTGGTTTTTCTATGTGCTCGCTCTTATCTTATTCCACATTCAGTAAATGCTCTTCTGTTTCCCTTTATTCTTTCCCAAGTCATCTGAGCACTTTACCAATACAGTAGTGCAAAATCTGAACACAAATTTCTGATTACAGTATCTTGTGTTTAAAAATTTTGATTGTCCATTTTGTAATTCATTTTATTTCTCTTGGTTTTCAGTGCTTTGATGTTTTTTAATACATTTGTTGTGTCAGTATATATGTGATTTTCAGTGAAAAATGTGTTATGAGTTTTGTTTATGTATTCTTGTCTCTTGATCAGCCCCTTCTTGGACAAGATGGACATGACCAGCAAGACCATGGCCAGGTAAGACTGATTGATAAGTACAGCCAGTTTATTTTATTTGCTCACAATATCATTATTCAGTGTTGTCCTGCTTCTTATGCATTCTCAAAGGATTATAACCATAATATTTGACGTGGGGTAATTGTCATTGGCTTTCTCGGTGCTTGTAGGCATTATCCACTGGGAAAAACGTTTATGGTAATCTTGAATGTTGTACTATTAATATTGTTAATAAGTGTGCTCATTTGTGATCACAAGGACATAACCCCCCTCCCCCCCCTCCCTTCTTCCTTCCCTCTCCAGAAAAGACTGCCACAAAATGCCATGGTAACAGTGAACAACTTTTGGTGAGTGAAGGTCAAAGTCAAAGCAGGTGGTGACATTACCAAATACCCTGTGATATGAAATAAGGTCTAAAATGTCTCAAAGCAGAGGAGATGGGTCACCAACCAGCCCATCCTCCCAAGGTTTCCCAACATCAAGAAAACTGTCAAATTAAATTGTCTCCTCCTAACCTATCAGAGAACCCAAAACAGAAAACAGGATAGTACGTCGCTTTCGCGAATTGCTTCCATTTTCAAGTACGACCATTTTTGGCCTTGTGTAATGCATACAATCAAAATGTGACGTTCTTTGTAAGAGGACAGGTTGCACCAACACTCCTCCCAACTTGCTATAGTGGTAAAATGCCAGGAGATATACACAGTAGTGACAGCAATCAGATACCCTGCCAGGCCATACAAAACACAGGTTAGCATTGACCTTATTGAAAGTCAGCCCCTACTTGACCCAGAAAGGTCAGGCAAAAACTCTTCAAAGAACTAAATAGAAAACTCTTGATGAACCTTGCCTCATTGAGAAAATCATTGGCTAGTAACAACAATGTCAGCAACCAGCCACACTCAAACCAAATCGGCTACATGCCTGATTTGAACTCGAGGAAGAAATGCCACTACTTTTTCCTAAAGTTCAGAAGAAAACATGTTGCAAATAGTATAAGTACTTATAGAAATTGTATGCTGAGTAGGCCTGGTCAGAGACACTGATTCCTGGAACACTGATCCCTGGAACCTTTAACAGGTAGCCAGCAGGTACGTAGCATACCATAAGTGCAAAACAAAAAGATAAAACAGCAGTGATAGGTATCAGATACCGTGCTCAGCCAAACAAAGCACTGACCAATTCTGAAATTAGAGGATTTCCAGCACCACTGCCAGAAAAATTAAAAGATAAATCATGCTCCACAAATTGCAAGTCTAAATATTTCACCAGGAGAATCCAAGAACTAGACCAGCAGTCGGCAACATGGCCTAACTTGACTGAGCATAGACCAGCACTGAACTTAGTGGAAGTTCCCAGTTGCTCTAACCAAAAATATTAAGAGGAAATTTCACCAGTAACCAATCCACTAATAAACATCTATGGGCTAGAACGACAATCCATGACCAGAGACACTGTCAAGTTGTATTAACTCAGACCAATTCTGAACTAAATGAAGATCTATCATCACTCCACTCAAAGTACTGCTGAGAGAATAAACACTCCACAAAATACAAGAATGGAAATCTCATCACAATCTCACCTGTTCTTCAGCTAAAATCCATGGGCTAGAATGGCAGTGTCAGCCACTAGACACACCGCCATGCTCTACTAGCACCGGCTAGCTCTGAACTTATTGAAGGATCACTAAAACACTTCTCAAAACACATTAAAATAAATACATTACACACTAATCTTGTGGTCATGTGTAATAGCAGAGTGGAGGCATAAGCAAATTAGCTAGCAGGCCCCCTCAAGTCTCTTCAAGACATGAGGAAGGACCATCACCATAACACGAGAACAAACTCCTCTCGCTCCATGCATTACAGCTAATGGCACATTTTGTCAAAGATATCTCTTGAACTGTGTGGAGCAAAATAAATCCACAGTGCATGTAACTGGAAATCCACTTATACCTCAGTCATAGTCAAGCACCTAAGTGGATGTTACAGGCTATGACACTATATCAATAAAAATGCATGAAACTATGTCACACATTTGCCTAAACCTGGATGCTGAACTCCACACCCAAACAAGTGGACCTGAAGCTTCATACTAAATTACTACAAACATCACTCACTTGTACAGGCCTTGCCTGGTGACCAAGTTCAAAGGCATTATGCGAAAAGATAAGTCTCAAGAGTATCCCATCCTATGGAGGAAATGTTCGTCAGAGAAAACTGTTTGCAAATGATCTTTCACTAAATGGTATGCCAGGGAAGGTAGCCTGAAAACATGGCTGTATCAGACTATAAACCAAAAAATGCATAAGGTGACTAGTAAATTATACTTATAATGCATATGTCATAGGCCTCAAAGTTGGATTTTTTTTTATAAAGTATGATCAGGTACTACAGTATATATATGCTTTCACTTACATGTAATAATAGTAATGATAATAATAAAAATAATAATAATAATAATAATAATAATAATAATTATTTTTGTTTGGTAGCTTCAACAATTGGGACAGGATGGACATGACCAGCAGCATCATGGACAGGTGAGAGGAATTGTGTTTTTTGGGTTTTTCCAAAGGTTTTAGTGATTGTAATGTTTGTCATGCTTGATATCTTGCCATCATTCACACATGCACTAGTACTGTTCTTGTTTCATTAAGTAATTACAGCCACTCGTGTAACTATCTAATTTTGCTCAAAATTTGTTTACTTGAGAGTTGCTTTTGGAAGCACTAATATGAGATAGTCTAGTCTTACTTGGTTATGTTAATACTTCAATACTGTATATGTATATACTGTGTGTGTGTGTGTGTACTCACCTAATTGTGCTTGCGGGGGTTGAGCTTTGGCTCTTTAGTCCCGCCTCTCAACCGTCAATCAACTGGTGTACAGATTCATGAGCTTACTGGGCTCTATCATATCTACATTTAAAACTGTGTGTGGAGTCAGCCTCCACTACATCACTGCCTAATGCATTCCACCTGTTAACTACTCTGACACTGAAAAAGTTCTTAATAACATCGCTGTGGCTCATTTGAGTACTCAGTTTCCACCTGTGTCCCCTTGTTTGCTTACCACCCATTTTAAACAGTTTATCTTTATCTACCCTGTCAATTCCTCTGAGAATTTTGTAGGTTGTAATCGTGTCTCCTCTTAATCTTCTGTCTTCCAGTGTTGTGAGGTGCATTTAACGCAGCCTTTCCTTGTAACTCATGCCTCTTAGTTCTGGGACTAGCCTAGTAGCATACCTCTGAACTTTTTCCAACTTTGTCTTGTGCTTGACAAGGTACAGGCTCCATGCTGGGGCTGCATACTCCAGGATTAGTCTTACAAATGTAAGACTTCTGAATGATTCCTAACACAGGTTCCTGAAGGCAGTTCTGATGTTAGCCACCCTCACATACGCCGCAGATGTTATTCTCTTGATGTGGGCTTCAGGAGACGGGTTTGGTGTGATATCAACTCCTAGATCTTTTTCTCTGTCCATTTCGTGAAGGACTTCATCTCCCATTCTGTATCCTGTGTCTGGCCTCGGTTCCCACTGCCTAGTTTCATTACCTTTAATTTACTCGTGTTGAACTTCAGTAGCCATTTGTTGGACCATTCATTCAGTCTGTCTAGGTTACTCGGGTTGAACTTTAGTAGCCATTTGTTGGACCATTCATTTAGTCTGTCTAGGTCATCTTGTAGTCTAATACTATCTTCCTCTGTCTTAATCCTCCTCATAATTTTTGCCTCATCAGAAAACAATGAAAGGAATGATTCTATACCCTCTGGTAGATCATTTACATATATCGGGAACAGTATGGGTCCATGGACTGAACCCTGTGGGACTTCACTGGTGACGTCTCACCAGTGGAGTCCCACAGGGTTCCAGTCTGAGACCTCACCCCTCACAGTGACTCGCTGTCTTCTGTTACTTAGGTACTCTCTTATCCACTGGAGTACCTTCCCTTCCCTTTCACTCCTGCCTGCATCTCCAGCTTTTGCACTAGTCCCTGATGTGGTACTGTATCAAAGACTTTCTAGCAATCCAAAATTATGCAGTTTGCCCACCCCTCTCTTTCCTGCCTGATTCTTGTTGCCTGATTGTAGAATTCAATTAATCCTGTGAGGCATGACTTGCCATCCCTGAAACCATGCTGGTGTCGTGTCACAAAGTTCTTTCGCTCCAGATGTTCCACTAGTTTTTTTTTTTTTTTGCACAATTTTCTCCAATAACTTGCATGGTATGGAAGTTAAGGACACTGGCCTGTAGTTCAGTGCCTTCTGTCTATCGCCCTTCTTGTATATCGGGACTCCGTTTGCCGTCTTCCAAATTTCTGGCAGTTCACCTGTTACCAGTGATTTGTTATACACCATGGAGAGTGGCAGGCACAGTGCTTCTGCTCCTTCCTTTAGTATCCATGGCGATATTCCATCCGGGCCTTTAGTCTTTGTCACATCCAACTGTAGCAAAAGCTTCCTTACATCCCCACTCGTAATCTCAAATTCCTCAAGTGGTGCCTGGTTAACTGTTCCTTCTCTTATCTCTGGAACTTCTCCTTGCTCTAATGTGAAGACTTCCTGGAATTTCTTTTTGAGTTCCTCGCACACTTCTTTGTCGTTTGTAGTGAATCTGTCTGCTCCTATCTTCAGTTTCATTACCAATTCCTTCACTGTTGTTTTTCTCCTGATGTGACTGTGCAGCAGTTTAGGTTGAGTCTTAGCCTTGTTTGCTATGTTGTTTTCATATTGCCCTTCTGCCTCTCTTCTCACCCTGACATATTCATTCTTGGCTCTCTGGTATCCTTCTCTGCTCTCAAGTGTCCTGTTATTTCTATAGTTTCTCCATGCTCTTTTACTTAGTTGCTTAGCTAACTTACATCTCTGATTAAACCATGGGTTTCTCATCTGCATTTCATATTTTTTCCTTTTGGGCTGGGATAAACTTTTTTGCTGCCTCCTTAGACTTCTGCGTGATGTATTCCATCATGTCTTGGGCTGTCTTTCCCCTGAGCTCTGTCGTCACGGGCTTCGTCTCTGCGGCAGTACGAAGTTTCCTTGCGGTCCTACCGCTTCTTTTTGACTCTTTATCGTTTTACTTCGCTTTTGGTTCAGGTGGTGCTCTTCTCTCATGGTTGTTCCAGGAACGTCATCTTATGAAGAATACTGTACTATTGCCTCGTATCGTGCGGCGCTGGCGGAGCCGCTTCAGCTTGCTTTTGAAGGCTCTTTTCCTGTTGGCATTGGCCTCTGGAGGTCAGGTCGGGAGCTTCATACTCTCCTCCGGCGCAGGGGTTTCTGGTCTTTCGGTTGTGGAGATATGTTTGTCTGCAGTCATCTCCTTTTCTGGTGAAAAATGAGACTGCTGCTTTCCGGAGGGGTCCTTTGGTTGTTGATGCTTGATTGGTCAGGCTGGGGGTGCATCATGTGCTTTGTCCGGTTGCAGCCCTCCGCCGTTATTTGCGCGCCACGTCTTCTGTGTCCAAGAACGCACTTTGGGTTGATCTGGATTACCTTCTTCCCTGTTCGTGGGTACGGGTGTCTCAGGTGGTCTGCAGGGCTATTAAGGCTAGCCAGCATGCGGTCTGTTCCCGTGCCTATGACATTTGTAAGTTCGCTGCTCTTGCTGCCATCTTTGGTAACATGTCCTGGGCTGACATTCAGGTGCGGGGATTTTGGCGGTTGAACAGGGTCCTGGCTGCAAGCTACCTTGTAAATGTTCCTGGGCCTAGTCGGGCCTGTGTCGCTTTGGGTCGGCGGTTGCAACCTGTTGTCTCGACTTCACGTTGAGGGACGAGTGCCAACCGTCTCCCGGGTAAGTCCCTCATGTTTTTGTCTTTTGGTAAGTAGCTCCGAAAAGCCGAAGGGGTTACCACTAGAAAACCAGTGTTGAATGTAATGAAATGCCATTTTTTGGGTGAGACCCAGAGGCTCCCCAACATCTCTCCCTCCCTCCAGTCAGTGTTTTTTTTTGTGTGTGTGTTTTGACATAAAGCCTTCGAACTAAAGGTGTGGGTAGCCGGCACGAGGGGTCTAGGGCTCCCCCTTCCCCCTCCCAGGGAGAGGGAAGCTGCGCAGATGGTGGTGCAGCAACGTGGTAATGTCATGCTTGTTTGCTTGTTTTTCTTTAGGGAGTTCTGTCCACTCGTTTGACTTTTAGTAGTGTTTCAACCAGAATAGGGGTTTGTTTTGGGATGCTAACCTTTCTGGATGCCTGACCTGGTCGATGGCACTCATGGAATGCTCCAAATTACATGTGCATTTCTATAGGCCATTGCTCGTCGTGCCTCTCTGAGGGGGCCAGGTTCTGGCTCGTGGTCTCTGGTAGGCCTAAGAACTCCATTCACACTAACTAATGCCAAAGTCTAATAGGTCCATATCAGCTCCGGGTTGCCTCCGGGTCTCGCCCAGTAAATGGTGTTTCAATGCCGGTTTTTCTGTGGGGAGCCCCTACGGCTCCCTGGAGCTTATCGGGCTAATGTATGTTATGTTAGACCGGGACATTAGCTAAGGAGTTCAGACCTACCAGGGACCAGCGCCAGAACCTGGCCCCTTCAGAGAGGTTTCAGGGAGCAATGGCCCTGGAAAACCCCATATGGCTGGGGGTTTTCCTTATCTGCCATCGACCGGGGTTAGGCACCCAGAAAGGTAGGCGTAACAAAACAAACCCCACATGGTAAGAAACTACAACAAAAACCGAACAGAGAGGTAGAAAACTCCCTACAATCCCAAGGAAACAAGCAAACAAGCAAACATCACACTTTACTGCCGCGCCGATCGTCCGCGCAGCCCTCCCCACCCCGGGAGGGGGAGGGGGGAGCCCCGGACCTACCGCGCCGGCTGCCAAGCTTCAGTTCGTTCGCTAATGTCAACCGGGATTGACGCTTCTCTGGCCTCAGTTTCCTAGGCGGTGTTTGCCTTGTGTGGCGTTCACTGCCGTGTGTTGTGGTGTGCGGTGGCCAGGAGTACTTCATCAGTGCCGGGGCTGCATGTGCTTAGTGGCTGACTTCCCTAAGCGCCCTGTGAGTACTGCCCTTGCGTAACAGGGTTATCTTCCCTGGGGCGTTCGGGAACCATTCCCGTAGAGGTTCTTGCTGCTCGGCATTTGCCTCGCCCTTGGGGCCAGCTGGGGCTTGGGGCCCTTGTTTGGCCCTGGGTAGGGATTGGTATTGTGCTGGTTAGGGCGTCAAGGTGTTGCGCAGCCTGCCACCTAAGCGGCGGCCGGTTTCTGTTGCCTCTGGAGACGGTGTACTTTTGCGGGGTTTTTCTTTTGTTTTTCATTTTCTTGCCTGGTGGGGGTCTGCCTAAGGTGGTTATAGTTCCACTGGTAGTGTTTGGCGGCCCTCTGCTAGGCCCCTGTGCTTGTACACGTCTCAGGGGTTCTCAGTGCTATAATGTACCCTCTTGTTATGTTTGGGTTTCTTAACCGGTTAGCAACACCTTGCCCGGGCTTCCCGTAGTTGTTACCCTACGGGCCCTGGAAACCCCTGTCTGGGCTCGGGGGACCATTGAATGTGTCTTCCGGGTTCCAACCCGTCTTGAACGGGATCGTTGGTTG